GGACATGACAACCTGTGCAGCCCATGTATTGATTCCATCTGATAGCTGCTATAATAACAAACAAAACTTCTGCCTGCTCTCCACAATGATCAATAACAGCGAACGGATGGTCAAAGTAAGGTACAAATAAACAGAATCACACGAAGCCTGGTTAGTGTTGCCTGACTTTATAAAGTGTGTTTGTTTATAAGTGTGTGGTTGCCTTCTAGTCACTTTGCTCAGCGCTACTGCTTGTTACAACTTTCATTTTCCGTACTCGCCATAAACTGTTATTATGGCTCAGGTTAATCTCGCCCCCTTCCGACGTGAGCGTGGTTCTTGGTTCTTGCCGGGCAGCCAAGTGGGGTCAGCTAAGAACCGGTGTTCGGTGTTTAGAGCCGGCTCCGCTGCGGCTGAAACAGGAAGAACCAGAGCTAAATCAGGCTGAGGGTGTTTCTCAATGTCGAGTAAAGCTGCTTCAGAGCCACTATTTCAAGCATACTACGTCATCGAGTGAGTACTGTTCCAATCTCCAGTATACTTGGAAATCTACCGAGCCCGGCGTACTCCGTTTGGAGAAATATCGAGTCTGCACATGAGTAGACTCCGCTGTCTTAAAATCCCCACAATGCTTTGCGCACGGACCAATTTCCCCAAATCTGTGGCGGAAGATGTAAGGCGGGGCCTCTCATATGACGCACACCTGCACACTTGCTAGCGTGTTCCACACTTCGTTTTCCGAATGCCAGGAAGTATTCTTGACTCGCTTCTGAAGCAAGATGCTCGGCAGACATGTGCTACCAAGCAAGTGTACTCGCGATTGAGAAACACCCTGAGTGTGAAACAAGAGCTATTGAGTCAGTGTTGCGGTGCTGTTGCTTTGGTCTGGATCTGTGAGCTAACCACGCCCCGTTCATTTGCATATAAGAAATGGAAATGTGTCATTATGAAATACAAGTCCCCTGAAATAAATAAATGTGTCATTATGAAATACAAGTCTCTTGAAATAAATAAATGTGTCATTATGAAATAAAAGTCCCATGAAATAAATAAATGTGTATTTAAATGTACATGTATACATATTTATTGCCTCATTTATTTATTTCAGAATTTATTTCATAGGCATATTTATATATATATGTATTTATTTAATTATTTATTTATTTAATTTTGGCTTAAATGACATTCCATATGAGACAACCTTTCCGCTGGTCTCGGCTAAAATCTACTCGTGTCACTCGGTTACTTTCGGAAGCCACGTGATGGCCTGCTGATGACGACATTTCCGCATGGTTTTCAAAGTAAGAGCATGATGGTTTGTTTAAAGCGCTGTTTTTTTTATGAACAGCGGAACATTAGATGCCATGGCCATGGGAAGTAGGGGTGCTGAGGGTGCTGCAGCACCCCCTGATGGAGGACAGGGAATCTGCACGTCCACAAGATTAATGGAAATATAATACAAATATAATACAAAAAAAACTAATTTTCGGCATTGATGTTCACATTCATAATTAAGTAAAGATAACACCCCTTTTCACCCCGGTTACATTTTCCATTTCCCCTGAGAGGCTCAGTGAGGTAAAGGACTCTTGAATGTTTAAATAGTTCACTTAGTTATCTCAGTGGGTCTCAAACGGTTTGGTCACAATTTATGTAAACAAATATTTCCAAGGCACTCCTTTATAATGATTAGGATAAATAAAAACAGGTTTGAAATCATTCCAATGCATACTATAGGACAGTAAACCAAAAATGGAGAGATTAAAAAAGATGCTGAATAAATAACTGTTAACTAGGTAAAATAAGATATAAATGAACAACAAAAATAAAGTACGTTACATTTATTTGTTATTGGCTATGGTAGGTGATTGGTTATGTTCACATACTTATTGATTATTAAAATGTAAACCGATCTTCTTCATATCGGTGTTTTAGAGTTGTACCCCCTAGATCCAGTCTCTTGTAATTCTGCTCAAAGTGCTCCAGATTGAAGTATTTTACTTTAAAATGTTAAAAACAATCTTCCCGGGGGGGCATACCCCCGGACCCCCTTAGAGGATGTGACGTGTTAAAACATATTAATACAATACTAAATACAATACTAAATCAATTTGATATAAGCTGTCCAACATGTCAATAATGCGGCTTTCACACCAGCGCTTTTCCCATTCTAGCTCCTAGCGAGAGCTTTTCTGGTTCAGCTCCGGTTTCCCTTTTCAGCTCCCGCTCTGTTCACACCGCCCAGAGCCCGACTGGTGCTGCCGCTGCTGCGTCATGACGTCACCGTTTACATCGCTGATTTGCTTCCCAACGGCGCTCACAACAACAACAACAACAACAACAACAACAACAACAACGGGGGACTGCGTCGGGTCGATGATCCTGTTGCTTTTAATCATACGAAGCCAGATTAAATTAAAGTGCCGTGGTTCATTGTTTATTAATGTGTTTCAGCGGCATTTAGCGACCGCTGCAGTGCTGGCTGCTCTTCCACGAGAGTTTATTCTCCCGTTAGCTCCGGGTTAGCTCACACGGCTCTAAAGTATTCACTGTCTGACTGTCACACAAGCAGCTGATACATATCCCCAGTTCCCCTTAAAGTAGACCTATCATGGTATATTTAAATGATATATTGTAGGGCCATACCTATATAAGGTATATTTATACGTTCTGTTTTCAAAATACCAAACAGATCATGCATTTTAGCCATGCCTCATTTTCGCTCAATTTGCACTTTTTTTTAGCGCTGCTCTGCAAGGGCAGATTCAGTGAGAACAGCACCATCTACTGGCCTGGCATATGTACTACAGCGTCTCCAGCGCTTTGGAACGGCAATGGCCGTGGCTGTCTCCTCCTGATTGGTGGAGTTGTCCCAATAGCCGTAGCGCCACCGTCCTGACGTCAGGACAGTGTTCAAATCTGTATCAGTTTTTATCAGATCCGTTTGCAGCCCCTTTTTTTAGAGATTTGGGTATGGAGGAAAATAGAGAGGTTGTGTTTTCTGACACTTGGTGAGTTCCCTGGAACACCGGGGACACATATTCATGTAGAAAAGACGTACAAAAGTGCATTTTGCATGATAGGTCCCCTTTAAGTTGCAGCCCATGTATTGATTCCATCTGATAGCTGCTATAATAACAAACAAAACGTCTGCCTGCTCTCCACAATGATCAATAACAGCGAACGGATGGTCAAAGTAAGGTACAAATAAACAGAATCACAGGAAGCCTGGTTAGTGTTGCCTGACTTTATAAAGTGTGTTTTTTTTTATAAGTGTGTGGTTGCCTTCTAGTCACTTTGCTCAGCGCTACTGCTTGTAGGCAGGCATGACGAGACCTCTTCAGTCGACCCATGTTCAGGGGAGGTGGGTTTAGTTTCCTGCACGCCTCGACGGGGGGGGGGGGGGGGGGGGGATGCCAGCTAAAATCTTGCCTAGGGCAGCAAATTGGTCAGAACCGGCCCTGGTGTCATCCCCACAGCACCCCCCATTTGAAACATGTTCTCACGGCTATGTTAGATGCATTCTTTATCACTGTTACGCCCAGATCTAGAGAAACTAGGCGCAGCATAAAATTGCCCTCTCCCAACTCTTCCCACTCCCAAGAACATGGACACCGAGACAGAGAATGCCGTTTGGTCATTTTAATTACCAAAGTTTTTAACAAAGAAACGCAACAACCCACAAAACAAACAAATCTCTGAACACATAAATATTGCCTAATAAATAAGAAAAATAAACGTACAGGCTTCTTACCTACTCTGACGTATAAACAGGAGAAAACGAGAATCAACCAAAAGAAAAGGGTTTCACACTTTTGCATAAATTAAAGCGTGTCCAACAAGGACAGGTTAAAGTAGTTTCTTTTCTGAGGTTTTCAAGACAAGCAAGAGGACCAGTATACGGTATAAGTAGGACCACAGCAGGACAGATACAGGAGGAGGGAAAAATATCTACACACAAATGACATAACGACCCAGGGTCGTAACAATCACCATCATCATCATGTTATAGTGATAGTTTGTGTTAGTTTATTGGTTCAACTTTCTTCATTGTTTTTTGTGTATTCAGTCAAGCGGGTCAAAGTTACAAAGCACTTCACATCTTGCTTTTCTACAGATTACCTTACCACTGCACTGGTAAGGTAAAACTAGGCCGATTAATAACGTATTTAGGTCAGCCTTAGTAAGGCTACATTAAATGCATATATTCCTGTCTATTGCTTTCATTTGTATTTAATGTTATTGTTTCCACACATTTCACAATTTGGGATGAATGAGGTATCTATCTATCTATCTATCTATATATCCATCTATCCATCTATATATCCATATATCTGTCTGTCTGTCTGTCTGTCTGTCTGTCTGTCTGTCTGTCTGTCTGTCTGTCTACAGATAGATAGATAGATAGATAGATAGATAGATAGATCCGGGACCCGAAAGTGGCGTAGCCTGTACTTCAACATCAATGCATACGGATGTGCTCGATATATGCTGTATTGAACCAATAAACTAACACAAATTAACTGTATCACTATAACATGATGATGATGGTGATGAAGAATGCATCTAACGTTCCGCTGTTCATTATAATACAAAAACAGAGTATTAAAAAAAACTTTTCCTTGTCCGTTAAAGTTTTTTTGTGTTTCTTTTTAATTACTGAATAAAAGATATGAGGATAAGGATAGAGGGAGTCGTATGTTGTACAGATTGTAAAGACCTTTGAGCCAAATTCTTGTTTTTGGGCTGTATAAATCAAATTGACTTGAAACAGTTGCTAATTTAGAGTAGGCCTACTGGCACCTTTTTTATTCCAATTCAAGCACTGCATGTATTATATAAAGTCAATGAACCATTTTGAGAACGTTTTCATTAAGTAATTGTATTACTCAGTCTGTACAGCAGGGGGCGACGTGCTCCTTCAACGTTCGTTTTACAGTCCTCAGCTAAAACCAAAGAAAAAGAACACCCGAACGACGCATGCGCAATACCTCACTTCATCTGATTGGTCCGTTTCAAATTTAGACCGCGGCTTGTTGTTGTATGAAGTTAGCGAAAACACACGGAATAATTCTCTTTAAACGAACCTAATGTCCCAAATACAACAGCCAGGTGAGTGTTGAATGTTGTCCCAGGTGAAATGTAAACTTTTAGCTTTGTTTTGTGAAATAAAACGGACATTTGTTTGTCACTTTTATCAGTTGACAGGTGCTAACCAGCTAGCTTGTTTGTTAGCTATACCCAGAAACGTTAGTTAACATCTTTTAAAACGAGTCTAACTTCTATTCAGAAACGTTTAACCGGATTTTTTCTTAAATTCCATGTGTTATCACGATGTGAATTTGTACTGTCCTCCTTATAATTCACTTTTTTATTGTCGTAACTTCTAGCCTAGAGTATTGTCTACTCTAGGCTCTTTTTTTGTCTTTTACCGCTAACTGTTTTCTATGTGAAATCAACTTTCTCTAAGTATTTTAAGAGATATCTACTGTGAAGCACTTATACTGCATGTCTTGTATACAAGGTGCTATACAAATAAAGCTTCTTATTATATATTATTATTACATCTCTCTTGGATTGCATTAGACTAATAATACAACAATTCAATAACCACGTGTCCTAATTTGGTTACTGTAACATTTTCTATGGTTTATCCTTTGTATCACATGGCACATAAAACAATATATACAATACAACCTCAAAGGGAAACACACTGAAAAACCCACTCTACATATACATATAGACACAGATACCTTTCTGATTAATCCACATTAATAGCCAACCGTTGTTAACCAAGCTGATTTAAGACAGTTTTGGAAAGTCACTAAATCCATAGGGACTTGGCTTGGGAACTGGAAGGTCACCAGTTCAATTCCTAGAAAGACCAAGTGCTACCCAGGTGTCCCTGAGCAAGGCACCTTTAGCTCCACTGCTCTTCAGGCACAGTACGTAATGGCTCATATTCTCATAACACTAAAAGGGTCAAAATTACTCAACTGCTGTACTTAAGACAAGATATACTTTATGAAAGGGAAAGGTTTTCGTCCCAGCTGCATGCAGACAAGGCATTGCACACAATGTGAAAATGAAAAGGAGTACAACATCAACAAACATAATATATAAAATATCTCTAAATAGAAAATAAAAACTGAACTTTAACCAAAAATGGCGACTTTGGATAATGAGACCTTTTTATATTTGGTACTTAAAGTATATTTTGATGCTCATACTTTTGTACTTTACCTAAGTAACATTTTGATTGCTTGAATTGTAAGTATAAGATCTGAGTTCTTCCACCACCCCTGCTTTAAGAGATGCTTAATGATAATTGGTACGCCAAGTTCCCATCACCATTTGTAAACGTGATGATATCCAGTCAGTGCCATACAAATGTTTGAAGGGCGTGACATGAGTTAAAATTGTTGTTGATGTGAAGCTAACCCTACTTTAAGACGCTCAGTGAGTCGGCCAGACCTAACGTTACTCCCTTCATGTTGTCTTTGACAGCTGTTGTATTGTGTTGCACTGTCGGAGGAGCCTGTGACCTAAGATTTTCATCGTCATAACTACACTGTAGCTATGTACGTATGACTAATAAAAGCCTTGAACCTGCTTTTGTTTACTCCTGATCTTTGTCTATGTGCTGCAGAATGATGGAATCGCACCTGAACACTAAGGCTGAGCGACGGGACCAGGTGAAGGTGGACGACTTGAGGATCGATCTCTTATCAGAGTTCAGCGCATTACCTTACCCACAGGTAAACCATACATACTTCTGCCCATAATGATGTCACTTCTCATGAGATTAGGATAACAAATGTGCTTATAATATGCTTCAATATCTTATTAGAGCATGCAGTGGTGGTGTTACAGGAGTATGCACACACCTCCTTTATGTTGGATCCACTTCGAACAGGAAAAATATATCTCCAGGAATCTGAAATCACTCTCGAGTTTCACTGATGAAACGAGGAAAACATCTGTAATCCAGTATTGCCAGAAATTATGAATATATTCGTGTCATAGGAGCAAATATGAGGCTCTATCCAAGTTTAATAAATCAAGTATTTAGCAGTGTTTTTGTTTCTGAGCAGCAGTGGAAGAATAACAAGAAAAGAGGGATTTAAAAAAACTATTAAAGATAAGAACCTCATTTGTTTAACCCAGAGTGCCGACACCTCATATCAACTCTAATATATATTTGCGCTGGATTATGGATTTTCTCCATAATCTTCCACATGAAATGTCTAATAAATGCCCTATATAAACAGTCTGAACAATTAAAGATAGCAATACCTGTTTATGTGGGCTTTTATTGTTTAAATATCGTCTTCTAAATATTATTTTTGGACATTTACCGTACACCATAGGCCTGTACTACGAAGCTGGTTCAACCTAACCTGGATATGTTTGAGTTAGCCGGTTGGCCCAATCCAAAACATACGCGCTCTCGCTAAGCTGTACTACGACGCTGGTTATCAAGTGGATCCCTCAAGCCAGCCGTGTCCTATCTAGTTAGGTGCGCGTTCACATGAAAGGGGTGGTATTTGGAGCATTCGACCAATCTCAAACATGGACAAGCGTACTGACAGCGCAGCGTCATACTTCCTGAATGAAAAGTGAACTTTAATATTAGTCAAATATGAAGAAGTTAAACTTTAAACATCCATGACTTAAACACTTTATCCAGGATCAAAGCCACATAGCTGCACCTGCAAGGTGAATACAGCTGGTAAAAGAAAAAGTGTTTGAATGCGTACATTAACAGGTTTATGAAATCACTGCCCCGTCTAAGACACGATCTGACTTTAATTACATTTGACTCGAGTGTTTCGTCAACTTAATGTGTTGCTTAAAATAATACTTCTGCATACAGTATGTGACACTGTGAGTGTTGCACGGCCAGATACGGCTCAGCTGACTCAGATAAGGAAATATATGATACATTATGATGTGATATGATATGAATGATAATGGGACACATCGCCGTCTGCACTCACAGTGCTGTACTTAATGTTACTCTGATCCGGTTACTTATGTTGTGGCAGATATTTAAGTAAGCTTTCTTAACGCTAATGTTATAATAGTCCGATTGCTCTGAAGATGGGAGGGGATATTCTATTAATTTTCACGTTCACACAGTCAGTGATTTTTGCCGGCCGTCTTTCCTGCAACGGCAGTTTTTCTGTATTTCCTCTATCCTGTAATATGACTTGATAGCTTTAAACTCCGCACACGGAGCTCTGATTGGTCAGCAGGCGGTGCTTTCACTGAGTTGATCTCTTAGCCTGCAACCTAACCTGCTCCGGAGCAGGTTAGCCGCTCAGCATAAGTTACCATGGAGATTAGGGCTGCACGATATTTAAAAAAAACTGACATTGCGATATTTTTTCCCCCTGCGATATATATTGCGTTTTTTTTAACTATATTTAACCGGATGAAGGATTTTAGTCACGGACGTCTGGATCTTAACTGGTTGACTCATCATACCTTAAGTCATGATCCAACATGTCATGATAATGCATGTTGCTTACCCTCAAATAAGGGGGTTCATCTGTGAATGAAGAAGAGAAGAACCTTTTTGTATCCAAAATAGTTCCAGATGGCAGATGTTGCTTTTCTTTTTGGAAGTAAATCTTCATTCTCACCGGTATTGTCCTCCTGTGCCTCGCTCATTTTCTACCGGTGTTTTGATAGTCTGCAAACTAGCGGGGCGGGGCCTGCTGTGATCTGATCAAGAATGATTGTGATTGGTGGTTTGCTGTGCATGCATGTCACTCACTCAAGTACCCCTGACATGAGAGCCGTGCAAGTTTTCCTTTTGTAGCAAGCAGCAAAATAATTGTAACATGAAGTGTTTGAGTTAATTTACCTGCTTAATATCGCACGTCCTAAAAAAAGAAAAAAATTAATAACATTTTTTAATAAAATCGTACGTCCCTGCGATGTGAATATCGCGGTTATCGCCATGACACAATATATCGTTCAGCCCTAATGGAGATCTAGCCCGCTAAAAAGAGAACCAGCGTCGTAGGACCGGTAACCCCAAGTTTTCCCTGAAGTCAGCCCGCTAAGCGAAAATCCGGCTTCGTAGTACAGGCCTCTGAACTCTGTAAAGAACGTCCATAAACATTCATCTGTTTGCAAATTATTTATCTACATATCATTTTCCATTTACTTACCATTTGCACTATTTTCTGTTTTATTTGTATTTACGTGCACACGTTTCTCTCTTGCACTATTTTATCCGTTTTATTTGTTCCATGTCCTTTTTATATATTCATGTTGCTCTGTTGGAGTTGTTCATTGCCATATCTCCACTGTAGCTGCTGAGCACAAGCCTCCCATCTAGCATTTCAGTTTCCTCTCGCTGTGTTTGATTACATCCTGATGTGTTGTGCAGCTTTCCAGCACCGACGAGCGGGAACACCTGAAGGTTTACCTCCGCATCCGACCCTTCAGCTCAGCAGAGAGCCACAATGGAGAGTCTCAGGTAAACACAAAGAAAAAACAAATACTTTACACGCAAGAAGTCAAAGTCAACTTTATTGTCAATCTTTCGAAATAACGTTTCCCACAATCCCAAATACAAAAATATATAAAATATCTATATCCTACACCAGGGGTTTTCAAAGTGTGGGAAGGTGAGCCTCCCCTCAGAGAACATAAGAACAGCCGCGCCCCCCCCCTCCCAATTATTATTGCTATTATTGTTGTTGTTGTTGTTGTTGTTGCTATAATGCAGGGGTGTTCAATTGCATTTCAAAGAGGTCCAGTGAGAGAACATGTCATTAAATGCTCTGTTTTCGCTGTCTACCTTTCTCTGTATTGAGCACGCCATTTGAAATGACTCACTGCTGTTTCTCTCCTTGTCTCGTCTCTGGAGAGGCTTCTCAATACTCTAATTTCCCCTCCTCGACTCCCATCCTCGACTCCTATCCTCGACTCCTATCCTCGACTCCTATCCTCGAGACTTAGTCCCGCCCACAGGAGATGCGAGCGGAGGACTCGAGGAGGGGAACCGAGGAGAGAGGAGGGGAAGCAGCAGGCGGTTAGAGAAATGAGAACTCCTCTCCTCTGAGCGGTCATTTTAAAGAGACGTCCATTAATGATGACAGGAGGCACAGCAGCCCTCTGTCTGATGGACAGATGTGTTCATGACCACTTATATATTTACTTTGATTCATTCACAGTGCGGTATAATGAGACAATAACAGGCTACAGATGCGGACACACACACACACACACACACACACACACACACACACATATATATTTATATAAATATATACAATTTAAAGAATGAGAGCACTCTCATAATAACGTAACTCAATCAGACTGGATATATCCCCCTCCCCCCCTCTCTCTGGTCGCTGAAATGTGGAATTGAAATTACGGGCCAAAAGTTGTATTTACAAGTATTAAAAGTAAGCATAGGACACCAAACCAACTGAGACCCGTCTGTCCGCCGCATCTACGCACTGTACCACACACACACCTACACACTGTACAACACACACACCTACACACTGTACCACACACACACCTACACACTGTACAACACACACACCTACACACTGTACCACACACACACACCTACACACTGTACAATACACACACCTACACACTGTACCACGCACACACCTACACACTGTACCACGCACACACCTACACACTGTACCGCACACACCCTACACACTGTACCACACACACACCTACACACTGTACCACACACACACCTACACACTGTACCACACACACCTACACACTGTACCCCGCCACACGCACCTACACACTGTACCGCACACACCTACACACTGTACCACACACACACCTACACACTGTACTACACACACACCTACACACTGTACAATACACACACCTACACACTGTACAACACACACACCTACACACTGTACCACGCACACACCTACACACTGTACCACGCACACACCTACACACTGTACACACACACACACCTACACACTGTACCACACACACACCTACACACTGTACAATACACACACCTACACACTGTACCACACACACACCTACACACTGTACAATACACACACCTACACACTGTACCACGCACACACCTACACACTGTACCACACACACACCTACACACTGTACCACACGCACACACCTACACACTGTACCACGCACACACCTACACACTGTACCACGCACACACCTACACACTGTACCACGCACACACCTACACACTGTACCACACACACACACCTACACACTGTACCACACACACACCTACACACTGTACCACACACACCTACACACTGTACAATACACACACCTACACACTGTACCAACAGCACACCCTACACACTGTACCACGCACACACCTACACCTGTACCACAGCACACACCTACACACTGTACCACCACACACCTACACACTGTACCTACACCACACCTACACACTGTACCACACGCACACCTACACACTGTACCACACGCACACACCTACACACGCACACACCCCTACACGCACACACCTACACACCTGTACCACGCACCACACCTACACACTGTACCACGCACACACCTACACACTGTACCACGCACACACCTACACACTGTACCACGCACACACCTACACACTGTACCACGCACACACCTACACACTGTACCACGCACACACCTACACACTGTACCACGCACACACCTACACACTGTACCACGCACACCTACACACTGTACAACGCACACACCTACACACTGTACAATACACACACCTACACACTGTACCACACACACACCTACACACTGTACCACGCACACACCTACACACTGTACACACGCACACACCTACACACTGTACCACACACACACCTACACACTGTACCACACACACACCTACACACTGTACAATACACACACACCTACACACTGTACCACACGCACACACCTACACACTGTACCACGCACACACCTACACACTGTACCACCACACACCCTACACACTGTACAACACACACACCTACACACTGTACCACACACACCTACACACTGTACCACGCACACACCTACACACTGTACCACACACACACCTACACACTGTACAACACACACACCTACACACTGTACCACACACACACCTACACACTGTACCACACACACACCTACACACTGTACCACGCACACACCTACACACTGTACCACACACACCTACACACTGTACAACACACACACCTACACACTGTACCACCACACCTACACACTGTACCACACACACCTACACACTGTACCACACACACACCTACACACTGTACCACACCTACACACTGTACCACGCACACACCTACACACTGTACCACGCACACACCTACACACTGTACCACGCACACCTACACACTGTACCACGCACACACCTCCTACACTGTACCACACACAACCTATACACTGTACCACACACCTACACACTGTACCCACACACACACCTACACCACTGTACAATACACACACCTACACACTGTACCACGCACACACACTACACACTGTACCACACACACACCTACACACTGTACCACACACACACCTACACACTGTACCACACACACCTACACACTGTACCACGCGCACACCTACACACTGTACCACGCACACACCTACACACTGTACCACGCACACACCTACACACTGTACCCACGCACACACCTACACACTGTACCACGCACACACCTACACACTGTACCACGCACACCTACACACTATACAACGCACATACCTACACACTGTACCACACACACACCTACACACTGTACAATACACACACCTACACACTGTACCACACACACACCTACACACTGTACCACACACACCTACACACTGTACAATACACACACCTACACACTGTACCACGCACACACCTACACACTGTACCACGCACACCTACACACTGTACCACGCACACACCTACACACTGTACCACACACACACCTACACACTGTACCACACACACCTACACACTGTACCACACACCTACAGCTCCTAAAGCATATAATCAGGCTACAGCCGTTGTGTATTTTATTTTGTGAAGCACTAAATGGTTTTAAAAAAATATGGACTCTTTGTTTGTAGATATCTACTAAACTAAAGCAAATAAAGAGAGTAGGCCTGTTATACTGAGTGATATATATTATACACACTGCTCTGCTTTCTGCACGGACCTCACAGCTGTTCTCACTGTAAACATCGCGTCGCGATGAAAGCAGTTACTAAAATAATATCCAGGGGATGCATGCAGAGCTGTGATTGGCTGAGATAAGTCCGGCCGTGCGTCACGACTCCACCGTTCCCGGAAATGCATCCGCAGAAGAGCCGTGGAGGACCCATCAGTGTCTCCTCGGTTATAGCTCCTCCAGAGAGCCTCCTCGATGTGCATTTAGAGAAATGAGATGTCCTTCAATATGGCGCGCTGAAATCCATTTCCGGGTCACTACCGGAGGACCGAGGAGTCGAGGGGTCGAGGAGGGGAAATTAGAGTATTGAGAAGCCTCTTGTGTGTTTGAATCTGTCGTGCTGACTCACTGACTGCACCGATTTGATTGGCTGAGTAGCGTCACCTCCTTAAAACATTAAACAACAACTTTTTAAAACATTTTTAACATTTTCAACATCGTGGATAAATCCTTATATTCTCCCGGCAACACACTGAACGTAAACTTTGCCTCCTTATTACACTCACCCCTACTTTAGTGGGAACAATGAGTCTGCGTCTTTGATGCGCACAGGCGGATGATGCGGGGATGCGATATAGACGAGAACAAACGCAGATCATCCTCTGGCCTTCACCGGTACTTGCTTTTGATCAAAGTCATTGCGGAAAACCCGCACTCACACAGAGAGGTGGAGCCAGGGGCGGACTGGGACTAAAAATCAGCCCTGGAATCTCACCCAGCCCAGCCCACACAAATTGGTAGAGCGTGCTCGTGAACTGTCAACGGGGGGGGGGGGGAGCCTCGCTGTGTGGAAACGGCCCGCTGAACGGACCTCTGTCGCCTGTCAGCGCAACTTAAATTATGCCGTTTAAAAACAAACAATAAAGGGCGCTGCCGGCCGTTCTGTGATTCTCCAGAACACACCGATGGCCAGTCTGCCCCTGGGTGGAGGGGAAGGGAATGAGCACTTTTACAGCCTTTTTGGCGAGGTGGGGGAACTCGGTCTCCACAGACAGCCAAAAGCGTGCAAGTGACACTTTACTCATCTTTTTCTCGTTATTTCTTTCTCACGCTGCGCCTCCCCTGAAGCTCTCTGGCGCCTCCCCTGAAGCTCTCTGGCGCCTCCCCTGAAGCTCTCTGGCGCGCCCCCCCCGCCCATTAAGACATAAATAAAAGCACAACAATCAATATAACAAAAATAATAGTCACTTCAATGTCTTTGGGAAATGTACATAAGAAGCTGCTGCTGCATTTGAATACATCTGAAGGAAAACAGGCAGAATGTTCATGGTAAACGGATAAATATTTCCCCCTCTTTTTTGTTTCCAACAGGACTGTGTGACTATTGAGCCCCCGGACACAGCTTTACTGAAGCCTCCGAATCTGTCCCTGTCAGCGAGGCTTAGTTCGGAAAAATCTCTTCCTCAAACTGGACAACGCTTCAAGTTCTCCCAGGTCTGTGTTTCCTGACAGATACAGAAGAGTTTTAGACGATAGCTTACTGTAAAGATAATTCCCTTTGAACGTATCGTCACTTGTATACGATGCATTTTAGTCTAACATAGTGTTTCTCAAAGTGTGGTCCACGTGAGTATATTGGTAACATTTCACACTTGAACTAAATAAATAATAAATTCAAAGTGTTTGTCACATTGTTTAAAAATGACAAGTATAGGTGGCAACAGAGACAATCAGTCAATGAGTGCGTAAACAATGCTAAAGAAATGGAACAGTGTAAATAATTAACTTGTGTTTAATGTTGAATTTGTGTTAAACTTGGGCCTGCAACCAAAGTGTATTTTATTTAGCAAATCCACAGCGGAGGTTGTACTTCATGCATTTTGCATTTCTCTCAGTAGCCAAGGATCTGAGAGTCTGTTGGATAGGACATGAACTCCGTTATAAATGTAGTCTACATTTCGTATGAGGTGTAAAACCTATGAGCATTTTAAATCACATATGAAGGAAAGGCTTATGGATTTAATGTGTGAACGAGGCGATGTAGAGAAGGTTAAGCTGTCTTTATTAGGCTGTCATTTGTTATAAACTGTTGAAGTGGTAAGCAGACCTTTTTGTTTTTGGATATTTGGGGAGGTGTGTGTGTGTGTGTGTGTGTGTGTGTGTGTGTGTGTGTGTGTGTGTGTGTGTGTGTGTGTGTGTGTGTGTGTGTGTGTGTGTGTGTGTGTGTGTGTGTGTGTGTGTGTGTGTGTGTGTGTGTGTGTGTGTGTGTGTGTGTGTGTGGTGTGTGTGTGTGTGTGTGTGTGTGTGTGTGTGTGTGTGTGTGTGTGTGTGTGTGTGTGTGTGTGTGTTGTGTGTGGTGTGTGTGTGTGTGTGTGTGTGTGTGTGTGTGTGTGTGTGTGTGTGTGTGTGTGTGTGTGTGTGTGTGTGTGTGTGTGTGTGTGTGTGTGTGTGTGTGTGTGTGTGTGTGTGTGTGTGTGTGTGTGTGTGTGTGTGTGTGTGTGTGTGTGTGTGTGTGTCAGGGGATCTCAGGGTATCTCAGGGTGACATCTTCTCACTAAATACTCAGTTGGAGCAGGGTTTTTTTTTCTAGAAAATTATAGTATGAGGGCGCTAACTACACTTACGGCCAAAAGTACGGCCCCGCCCACTTTCCGGTGAAAATACTGCATCAGAGCGAAGCGGAAAATAATAGTGTCTTCATGTCTTAAAGCTGCGGGGTCATTTATTGCACCTCAAACTACAAATAAATCCAGAGTTACGGTTTGTTTTTTGAAGTGGTCCTTGGTATGAACAAGTTTGAGAAACACTGGAAAGTTCGAGACATCCTAAAATGATGTTTTAAATGAATACTCCCTTCCCCAGGTTTATGGTCCTGAGACTTCACAGAAAGATTTCTTCCAGGGAACAGTGAAGGATTTGGTGAAAGACGTCCTGGAGGGCGGGAACTCTCTGGTTTTCACATACGGAGTCACCAACGCCGGCAAGACCTTCACATTCTTAGGTTCGTTCCACTTTCTAACATCTTAAATTAAACTAAAAAGAGTATATAGTGATTGTTGTAAAAGGATCAGATTATCTCCTCTCTGTCAGCTGTTCTGTAGGATAATAGTTAAAGTGTGAATCTATACGCCTAAACCATGAGGTTTTTTTATTTATTTTTATTTTTATACAAGTAGCCCTAATCATCTTCTTAAACAATTGTCCATTTTATTTCCTTCTGATATGTTTTTCAAAATTCTCCAAATTCGGACGTTTTTTCCAAATGTCTGACTTTTAATATCAGGGATGCAAACTTGTCACCTTTCGGCGAAATTCGCCATTTTGAATCCAAAATAGGTCGTTTGTGTGATTCATGTAGATCTGCAATAAAAATATTTGTGGGGTATGGGGGGGGGGGTCTGGGACCCGGAGTAATCTGCGGCCGCGAGCTGTTATGTGCCATCACGCATGGTGTTCTTTTTTTATATAATGAAGCGCGAGCTGTGTGCTCGAGTCTTCCTGCCTGTCAGCTCTGCTCATGGATGTATAATAAGGCTCTGCTGCTCCGGGATGAGGGTCTAGCTTCAGCAGCTACATTACCTATGGGTGCGTTCGTTAATATTAACTGTGCGGTCCGGAGTCACTGTGGCACAGACTGGACCGCTGGTGAACAGCTGTTAGAACGGGCCGTTCAGGTGTTCAGAGCAGAGCTCCCTGTCGGAGCGGCAGAGCGTGATGTGCACTGAAAAGTGTTCCTGTCGCAATATTATCGTTGAGCTAGCTAACTAGCATACATTGTCACTATCTGCTAACGTTAGCTTTAGCCTTCGTTTTCAAATAGTTTTAAAAGAGTAAAAGTAGACGTACTCAGATATTGTACTTGAGTAAAAGTAGAAGTACTCAGATCTTGTACTTTAGTAAAAGTAGAAGTACTCAGATCTTGTACTTGAGTAAAAGTAGAAGTACCAGAGTGTAGGAATACTCTGTTCCAGTAAAAGTCCTGCATTCAAAATGTTCCTCAAGTAAAAGTAGAAAAGTATTATCATCAAAATATAGTGAAAGTAGCGACAGTAAAAGTAGTCGTTGTGCAGATTGGTCCATTTCAGAATAATATATATGATATGTTTTATAATGATTGATCATGAAAGTGTTCTCAAAGCTGGTAAAGGTGCAGCTAGTTTGAATGACTTTGTATACTGCAGGGTAGCTTGTGGATTTACTCCAGGTGGAACTAAAGTCTGATTTAACACTTGATTATATTTCACATCATTCATCCACATCTGTGAAGTAACTAAAGGTATTAATACATGTAGTGGAGGAAAAGTACACCATGTACCTCTGAACTGTAGAGGAGAAGAAGAACAAAGTAGCAAAACATTGAAATACTTAAATAAAGTACAAGTATCTCAAAATTGAACCCAAGTATAGTACTTGTTGAGTTTATGAACTTGGTTACTTTACACCACTGGCTATAAAGATAGAAAGACTAAGCCTTGCACAGAGGCATGAAAATACATTTTCAAAATGCTCAACAGAGCTGCCAAAATTATAAACTGACTGCTACACAATTAAAATAAATGCTTTTATACATTTCTATTAGATGTGACTCTTTGGCGTTTCTGTTATTATTAACTGCTTTAGTTGTTCTGACTGCTAAAATCCTGTTATTCCTCATTTTAAAGCCGATATTCCGTGGGGTCGGGGGGCTCGGATCCTTGTCACCTTTTTCATACCTGATGAGTTTGCATCCCTGAATATATTTCTAAATTATTTAGAAAAAACTCTGACTTTTGAAAAAATCTGACTTTTTACATAATTCTTACTTTCTTTTCAAAATTCTCACTTTTTATAAAATTCTGAGTGGATCAGATGTTCTCTCTTCTCTGTAAGCTGTTCTGTTCTGTAGGCTAATATTTTAAGTGTGAATCGATACGCCTACTGCCTCAATCTGCTTTATGAGATTCTCTTTCTTTGCTTCATTTGAAAGTTGTTGTGTGTTTCACATGCCTAGCTCCTCTAACTAGCTGTCAGGGGATCTCAGGGGGACATGTTCTCTAAATACACAGTTGGAGCAGATTAAATATCAGGGTTTGTTCTAGAAAAACATAACATTAGGGCGCTACGGCCAAAACTACGTCCCGCCCACTTTCCGGTGAAACTGCATTCGAGAGAAGCGGAAAATAAGTGTCTTAAAGCTGCGGGGTCATATATTGCGCCTCAAACAACAAATAAATCCAGAGTTACGGTTTCTTTACTTCCTCTACAGAAAAAAGGACAGTAAAAGATACTCAGGGAGACCGACCGGACATCCATCCCATATTTATTCTCCGTAAAAACAAAGCTGTCTCTGCCGTCTGCCGCTCTATTTTACACTATTTTTGGAGTAATTATACAGTTTTTGACGAACAGACAAACTGTTTTCTGGCATCACTTTAACATTTTACGGGGAAAATCTGCATTTTGGTTTGAGGGCGCAGTGCCCCTGTTACCTGGTGCAGACAAAACTCTGAATTATTTTTATTTACTTTGAATTTCTGCCCTGCCTGTGCTGAAAGTAAATTCTAAAGTTATGATCGCCACCTTGTTTTAGCATATGAGATTTTTTGCAATAACTATTTACAGTCAAATGTTCCCCAAAGCAACTCAAATATGAAATCTTGCAAGTGTAGCAATACCTTTGTTTTATTGTGTAGCTATAGCATTCCCCCCCCCCCCCCCCCCCCCGTTCTCAGCTACCACCTCAAGTATATTTCAGATATGTGGGAAACACTGTAGAGGGCAATAAAACAGCCCTGAGGTCTAACCATGAACCATGGACCACCTTTGAAACATTTCTGGAAAAACACAAACCGTCATTCCTTCCTGAGATATAATGATAAAAGCACTTTTTAAACAATCCAGCAACATGCCCTTTTCCCTTTAGGTCCAGATGCTGATGCTGGCATCCTGCCCCGCACCCTGGATGTTATCTTCAGCAGCATCGCTGAGCAGGTGTTCAACGGGACGAGCATCAAACCTCAGCGATGCAGAGAGTTCACCAGTCTCACCGCGGAGCAGCAGGCCGAGGAAGCCGCCTTCAAGAGACACTTCTTCAGACAATTTAAAGAGGTAGCACATCTTTTATCCTCCAGTCTTTAATCTGCACATCATTCAGACACTGTTAGAGAATCTGAGAGACACTCATAGAGCTCTTACAGGTAGTTGTCGAACAAAATTAGTTTTTAAATGGCTCGTATTGGCTGAATATTCTTTTGAAATAATATTGAGTCCTTTGTGAAGAATAAATGATCAGTTAGCCGAGGAGTAATTATTTGCTTCCCATTCCTGTAGAAAATAAGTTGATTTGTTTGAAAGCCTCCCAGGTGAGAAGATTTCACAAGAACAAGACATTTGAGTTTGTCTTTCAAAGGCCTTCACTTTTGAGTTATTACATGATATACATCTCATGCAAGTCGTCTTGTGCACATTTCTCAAAGTAGACCTTACTCCCACCAACATAAAATCAAAAAAAGTCCCGTAGGAGCTTTTTTTTTTAATTGCTTTTGAAGTGTTTTTGTATGTCTTAAAGGGGACCTATCATGCAAAATGCACTTTTGTACGTCTTGTATACATGAATATGTGTCCCCGGTGTTCCAGGGAACTCACCAAGTGTCAGAAAACACAACGCTCTCTATTTTCCTCCATACCCAAATCTCTAAAAAAGGGGCTGCAACGGATCTGATAAAAACTGATCCAGATTTGAACACTGTCCTGACATCAGTAAAGTGGCGCTACGGCTATTGGGCCAACTCTCCACCTATCAGGGGAATGTGGGGTTGGGCCACGGCCGGCCATTGCCGCTCGAAAGCGCTGGAGACGCTGTAGTACATATGCCAGGCCTGTAAGTGGCGCTGTAGTCTGCCACAAAAGCAGCGAAGAAGACTTCCCATGCATGGTTGCCATGGTTACCCTTCTGTTTATTCTCCGCTGTGGCTTTCTTTCTCCCTCCCCGAGGCAAGCGTTTGCTCCCGCTGCTTTAATTCAATGCAATCCCTCCCCGTCGAGGCAAGCACTGTAATTCTCTCCGGTTAGTCCACCAGCAGATGACAAACACCCACCTCTCCGCCTCTTCCAAGGAACGAGGGGACCGTGCGGCAGAGTTTCAGTTTCAGTTTCTTTCGCCGGTCAAGATGTCCGTTAAAGTTTAAATCTTCCAGACAAAATTAGAAAAGTGCCGGTCAAAGGTCTTCTTTGTTATTTATTGAGCTTTAAAACAAATGAATAACGACTCTATATAATAAAACACGGAGGACGGAGATCTCTTTTTCTCCCCCTCTTCTGACAGCCCAGCAGCTGATCAGAGCACGTCTCCCCTCTCCTGCAGGGGGGCGTGGTCAGCTGCAGCTCACAGAATCAGCCCCCTGCAAAAACAGGGCTGGAAAGAGCAAATAGAGCAAAATGAGGCATGGCTAAAATGCAGGATCTGTTTGGTATTTTGAAAAAAAACTATATTTATATACTTTATATAGGTATGGCCCTACAATATATTGTTCAAATATAGCATGATAGGTCCACTTTAAGTTATTACTCTTCTGAGAGCACTTTGCTATAAAGTGTGTTTAGTGACTTCAGGAACAAACAAAGGCCTGGTTGCGTGTGAGTCTCGCCATTATCCATGTGACCCAACTCAAAAACATGAATTACAGGATAATAAGTAAAATAATAATATTACCAATGACCAATGCCAAATAGGGCTGCACGATTTGGGGAAATAATCTAATTTCGATTCGATTTGCGATATTTGTTTTTAAGCGACCCAACGGAAGTTTATTGTAAAATGCGGCCATAACTCCGGCTAGGAAGGTCGTATCAACGTGCTCCCGTCTCTAGCACCCCCGCAGCCCGAGCTACGAGTGGAAGAACTAAACTTACATGAAACTTCCGTTGGGTTGCTTTAAAGTCAAGCTTCAGTTTCAGACTCACCCTGTAATAGATGTAGAACATGTGATGGAGCATTACTAACCTGACTCAGATGCTTTGTTTCACCAGACCATCTAGGAAAGCTCCATTGGAAGGTGATTGGATCAATCTGTCTATCACCTACTATCATGGGCCACTTCTGATTGGTTAATAATGACTGGTACATGTGGAGTGTTAAGGAATAATTCTTCTAGATATCTAACCTTTTGCTCTGTGACGTTTTATGATCTACTCTGACGTCTGTTATCTCCTTTAAGGAAAGGCCTTGGTGTCATATGTGTTGTTACCAGTGTGTGACCGGTCAACTTGTCTGGCACGAAGGGTACTTGTTGTGAGAACACTGAGGCACTTCTTTATCGGTGTTTGTGGACTCTAAGATGTGAAATCTTTGAGGCCATGAGTGTCGGATGCAGGTGGTTCAGTGTTCCCAGCTGTTTAGTCTACTCCTTCAGAGATGTTGATTACTCTCTGTGAACCTGATAAAAGGTCTAGCATAGAGAGAGGTTCTTGAGAATTGACGTGGCAACTCTCCCGTGAAGTCAGACCCTCTGACTCTTTGATTTGTGATGTGAATCCTCCGGCTGATACTCTGAATAAACCCATCAGTGTTTGACATCAAAAGCTCCAACTCTCACCGTGTCTCCTTCCTGAGTCGGTGACTCCATGCATTGCTACACAGAAGTTTCCCCCACATGGAGCACAGCACTTCTGATTGGTTAACAATGACTGGTACATGTGGAGCACAGCACTTCTGATTGGTTAACAATGACTGGTACATGTGGAGCACAGCACTTCTGATTGGTTAACAATGACTGGTACATGTGGAGCAGAGCACTTCTGATTGGTTAACAATGACTGGTACATGTGGAGCACAGCACTTCTGATTGGTTAACAATGACTGGTACATGTGGAGCAGAGCACTTCTGATTGGTTAACAATGACTGGTACATGTGGAGCAGAGCACTTCTGATTGGTTAACAATGACTGGTACATGTGGAGCAGAGCACTTCTAATTGGTTAACAATGACTGGTACATGTGGAGCACAGCACTTCTGATTGGTTAACAATGACTGGTACATGTGGAGCACAGCACTTCTGATTGGTTAACAATGACTGGTACATGTGGAGCACAGCACTTCTGATTGGTGTGGGTGACTGACACACAAGAAGGACAAAACATTTTTTTTTTAAATTGCAGGCTTTGCGATTTGATAAATGCATCATTTCAAATTTGGATTTAAAATCGATTAATCGTTCAGCCCTAATGCCAAAATATAAATAATGAAAAACCTTGTTTAATGTAGAACAAAAATCAACAATTTCTGACGTTTTCTGATAAAACGCTGCTTTACTGTGATTTTAATTTGTCTTCCAGAATGAGAGGAGCAATGCCAGCCTGCAGAGCTCCACCAATAAGTCTCTCTTTGAAGGCAAGATTTCTAAATCTAATGTTTTTTCATCTCATTGCTTTTTGTTACAAAACGACTTCTGTAACTGCAGCTCCCGTAGAGCGTGTTTCTTGATGATGATTTTTTTTGACGTTTCTCTCCGTTTCAGGCACCTCCATGATGGATACTTCAGAGGAGAGGATCAATCTGGAAGTGGACGCACACACAAAGTTCTCTGTTTGGGTTTCTTTTTGTGAAATCTACAATGAGAACATTTACGACCTCCTGGAGGCGGCACCCAGCGGAGCCGTGAAGAGGATCAATCTGCGCCTGTCACAGGACGTCAAGGGCAACTCCTTCGTCAAAGGTTAGACACTTGAAAGAGTCCTCTCCTGCTGATGTTCAGGGTGTATATCAGTATGTAGTGTCTCTACTTTAAAGAGTCCTCTCCTGCTGATGTTCAGGTGTATATCAGTATGTAGTGTCTCTACTTTAAAGAGTCCTCTCCTGCTGATGTTCAGGTGTATATCAGTATGTAGTGTCTCTACTTTAAAGAGTCCTCTCCTGCTGATGTTCAGGTGTATATCAGTATGTAGTGTCTCTACTTTAAAGAGTCCTCTCCTGCTGATGTTCAGGTGTATATCAGTATGTAGTGTCTCTACTTTAAAGAGTCCTCTCCTGCTGATGTTCAGGTGTATATCAGTATGTAGTGTCTCTACTTTAAAGAGTCCTCTCCTGCTGATGTTCAGGTGTATATCAGTATGTAGTGTCTCTACTTTAAAGAGTCCTCTCCTGCTGATGTTCAGGTGTATATCAGTATGCAGTGTCTCTACTTTAAAGAGTCCTCTCCTGCTGATGTTCAGGTGTATATCAGTATGTAGTGTCTCTACTTTAAAGAGTCCTCATGTATTTGTTTTCAGATCTGCGCTGGGTTCAGGTGAATACAGCAGAAGAAGCTTACAAAGTGATGAAGCTCGGCAAAAAGAACCAGAGTTTCTCCGCGACCCAACTCAACTTCCGCTCCAGCAGGAGGTGAGGAACACACATCATTTCCCACAAAGTAACTTAACATCAGCTTTAACTGCAACACAAAGAAAGGGTTTTATCAAATAGGCAAATTCTGAGAGAAAAAAAGTCAAAATGTTGAGAAAACTAATTCTGAGTTCGGATAAAAACTCTTAATTCTGACAAAACAAATCTGACAAAAGGTCAAATATTCAGAGAGAAAAATACTTAATTATCTGTGAATCTGTTTATGCGACGCCTTTATGTTCCTGTAAACACACAGTTAGTAACCCCTCAGTTTCCTTTCTCTATACATCCTCCCTCAGCACTTGCTCAATTTTGGTTTTTGTCTTACTAAATGCTACGTTGCCTAAAAGTTTGAGCAGAGTAAGTCTTCGCTGAGTCTTAAGTTTCCATGTTTTTGTTCTTATTTCTTCAGGTGGTTTCTCCCAATTGCATATTATACAATTTAAATGCGTTTAATTTGTTTTCTTTCTGTCTGCAGTCACAGTATTTTCTCCATTCGGATACTGAGGATTGAAGACATTGGGACTATGCGGGTCCGCGCAGTCAGCGAGTGAGTTGCACTTTAAAATGTTGATTTTAGACGTGTTAAAGTATGCTTCTGACTGGCATCGTTGTGCAAAATGATCTCTAATTTCTCTCGTCTTCTGTCATCAGGTTGTGTCTGTGTGACCTGGCTGGATCGGAGCGGTGTGCAAAGACTCAGAACAAAGGAGAGCGCCTGAAAGAAGCTGGGAACATTAACACGTCTCTGCTCATACTTGGGAAATGCCTCAAAGCACTGCGACACAATCAGCAGGCCAAGTGAGACGTTAACCTATCTGGGAATGGCCGAATGGTTTTAAATCGTGATTAAAAAAAAATGTGATTTAAAAACAGTCAAAATGTTGCGGAAAAAAAATTCTGAGAAAAAAAGATAAAATTTAGAGAAAAAAAATCAGTGAAAAAAGTAAAAATTCAGAGAGAAACATTTCTGTGAAAAAGTTACATTTCTAAGAAAAAAAGTCAAAATCCAAAGGAATAAAATCTGATAATAACAATTTTAAATTAGGAGAAAAACAAATGTTGAGGAAAAAAGTCAAAATTCAAGGAAAAAAAGTCAAAATGTCACATTTCTGAGAAAGTCACATTTCTAAAAAAGAAAGTCAAACATTCGGATAAAAAGTCAAAGTCCCAAGAGAAAAAAATCTAAACATTTTGAGAAAAGTTATCAAAATGTTGAGAACAAGATTTCTGAGAAAAAAAGTCAAAATGTTGAGAAAACAAAATCTGAGTAAAAAAAAGTCTAAATTCTTAGAAATAAGTCAAAATCTCAAGGGAATAAAATCTGACGAAAAAATTCAAAATTAGGAAAAATACACTCAACATTCATCTTCAACGCTTCCTGCTTCACGTAACTTCTACAAGAGATAATTTAGCAAAACGATTTTTCACAACAAATTCTGAGAAACAAGTCAAAGAAAGTTGAGAAAAAAAAATCTGAAGAATAAAATAATTCTACTACTAAAAAAATAAAAAAATAAAACAAAAATCTGAGGAAAAAGTCAAAATCACAAGGAGAAAACATTTGAGAAAAAAGTCCAAATGTTATGAAAAAGAAATCTGAGAAGAAAAGTCAAAATTCTGAGAAATTAAAAAATCTGAGGAAAAGAAAGTCAAAATCCCAAACTAAAAAAATCTGAGAAATATAAAAATTATTAAAAATAAATTCTCAACATTCATCTTCAACGCTTCCTGCTTTACGTAACTTCTACAGGAGATAATTTAGCACAACAATGTGCAACAAATGAATGCATGCTAACGGATCTCGTCCTCCTTCAGGCTGCTGCAGCAAGTTCCCTTCAGAGAGAGCAAACTGACCCACTACCTGCAGAGCTTCTTGTGTGGGAGAGGGAAAGCCTGCATGATCGTCAACATCAACCAATGCGCCTCCATGTACGACGAGACCCTCAACGTCCTCAAGTTCTCTGCTGTGGCCCAGAAGGTACAAATAGATCTTCATTTACTCTCTTTCTGAACTCTGCCTTTTTAAATTCAGCTGCAGACTTTGCCAAATGCAGTCTTTTTGTGTAAATGCCATTCTTGTTAATGCTCTCACTGTAATATATCATGACGCTGCACTAAATGCTGGTCAAAGGTCGCATTCACACCTAATAGTCCGCTTCTCTGGTGACAGTTTGTTCACTTGTTTCATTTTTCAGAAGGTTCGGTTTGTGTTCACACGGGCAAAACTCAAACGGACTATAAACCTTAAAAACTAGACAAAGTTATATATAACCTAGAATAAATAATGTCTTCTCTTTTTGAGATTAAAGTATCTATATGTAATATCCTTGTTCAATAAACGCATACTACACAATGAAATTATTATTTACTTGCTGTCTCCAGGTGGTCGTCCTGTCCTCCCGTCCGCCTTCCATCGTTCCATCATCATCATCCAAGAAGTCGGCCTTCGAGATGTCCATCCTCATCAACAACGCTGACAGGAAGAATCGGCCCGGCAACCGGAGGAGCTCCCTGATTGGCTGGGAAAGCAGCCTAGAGGATGTCCAGGTAAAGTGGGATGAGGGGTCTCACAACAAGGCTCTAACCTTCCTTATTTATTAGAAAAAATGCAAATAAAAAATAGTGCAAGAAGTCTATATACACGTAAATATGAACAAGAACAGAATGTGAAATGAAATTATTTACATTAAGACAAAATTTAATACGGTTTATTGCGGTGATAACTATTTATATAAATAAGTAGATTTAATGATGTCCTTCTTGTGTCCAGGAGGATGAGGATGACGAGGATGAGGAAGATCAGAGCCTGATGGAGAGCACGATGGATCAGACGGGCGACGAAGAGGAAGTCACGCAGCAGGTCAGTTTCCTACCGGTTAGGGTTGCAGGATCTTTGGTGAACCACATCATCATCATCATCATCATCATCATCATCATCATCATAATACATGTGATTTTCCTGGGGCTCAAAGCGCATCATAGACCCATTACAGTAATGCATACACAATATCTTGTTTTTATTTTGTATTACTGCACATATTTTATTCCAATTCTATTTCCATGTAGATACTGCTATATTTTACTGTATTTTTTGTATTTTTAACGTTATTATCGTTTTCTATATGTGTCTTTTTAATTTTACTTTTATGTATGCAACACCAAAACAAATTCCTCAATAATATAATGTATTATATTACATTATTGCCTCTGCATTGGATTATTATCCGATAGGGAATAACTTCATAATTAACTACGTCTGAAAGCAGAAGTCTAGGGCAAATAATTGCAAGTATCTTCATGTAAAAAAAAAAGAGATGCATTGTGGGACATTTCATTTTCATTTAATCGTTTATTTAGCATTGAGTACCGGTACCGGGGCCCTCCCGCAACATCTTGCAGGAAACGGTGTCTGAGCCGGGCATCTTAATATTTAATAAACTATGAATGTTTTATATCCATGTAACGGGAAGAAACTCATCTAACTGATCATTTTTATTTATTTAAAAAAAAACACAATGCTAACGCTGAGCCTCTGAATTAGCAACGAGCGAAAAATGCTAATAGATTACTGCACCGAAACTCACTCATAAAACCTTATTATTTATCCTTTCTGCACATCCAACCCATCGATCTGATCGTGAGATGACACAGAATCGAAGGGTACATACATTATCACTATTATAAGAACTCGTGACTTTATAAACAAAAACAGACATCAAAACATGTGGCGCTAGGTAGCTAAAAACGCTAACATGGTTTACCTGTGTCGTTGTCTGGTCAAAACTGGTCTTCAATGGCATTAAAACGATAAAAACGCTGCTGAAGTTAATCCATAGGTTAATCCAATGTGTCTGTGTCCCTTTGAAATGATTTCTGATAATCCATAAGCAATAAAACTGCTTTTCCGTTTTCAGATGTCAGAGCGAGAGATAGGTTCGCTCTGATGCAAAACTGCATGCGCGAAGCCCCCACCTTTTTTTTTACCATGTGTGTATGTGGGGAAATTCCCCTTCAATTCTATTGGCTCTAACGGTCAGAAAGAGATGTCAACCATCAAAATCAACCAATGGGTTCCAGAGAAATGGTAAAACCCCCATTTCCACCCAAATCACCTCAGAGGTGGAGTTCTTTTGGCTAAACCTCTCTACAAAGGTCAAATGTCACTTGTTTTGCATCAATCTTGATACAGGGTTCTTATTATATGTTGTACTTTGGATTCCTAAAGCTTTTAGTCTACCTTACCATCATCCAAGGGTAGTTTTCACTATAAGTAAAAAATAATTGGCGGTGGTATTGGGATATATATTTTTTAAATCCTCTGGAGCAGAGAGAGGAGCTGTGGATTATTGTTATTGATTAGTGCATCAGTGTTTCTTAGGGTCAAAAACACTAAACTCACAACTTAAAATGAAAGCGTTGAGTTTATTTAATAAAAGAGCACATGTTCAATGTGAAAAGTGACAGTAGATATAGATTAGTTGCAATTTGGTGCTATATATATTTATATTAGGGCTGTCAGTCGATTAAAATATTTAATCGCGATTAATCGCAAATTAATCGCACATTTTTTATCTGTTCTAAATGTACCTTAGAGGGATATCTTTCAAGTTTTTAATACTCTTATCAACATATGAGTGGACAAATATGCTTTATATGTTTGTTTATTATCATTTGAACAATGACAAATATTCTCATGAATATTAAACACACGTGTACACGCACGTGTGCACGTACACGCACGTACGTGCACGTGTACACGTACGCGTGCGTGTACGCGTGTACACACACGTGTACACGCACGTGTGCACGTACACGCACGTACGTGCACGTGTGCACGTACACGCACGTACGTGCACGTGTACACGTACGCGTGCGTGTACGCGTGTACACACACGTGTACACGCACGTGTGCACGTACACGCACACGTACGTGTACATATATATAGCGGGGCTCCGTTGGCGGGGCAATGGTAGGGGAAACACTGCAAAGACTTAAAATTGTCAAAACTTAAGAAATGGTGTTTATCTAGGATGGTACAGTGGTGGTATGAATGTGGCTTTCCGTCAAACACCTTGATAGCTCTCTTGTACAGCTGTTCTATTGGTTTCAGGTTTGTGGCACAAGCAAACGACCAGTTTGTCAAACAGTATTCAATATGGGATAGAATCATACAGTGGAGGTATGACTTAGCAGCATTGACAGTTAAGGAGGGTCTAATTTGTTTAAAATGTTGCAAGTTGAATTTAATAGTATTGGATACTTTCTTGATATGTTTCTTAAAAGTCAAGTTCGAGTCCAGTATGACTCCAAGATACTTGAACTGGGAGACTAGTTCTATTTCTGCTCCGTTTAAAAATACGTTGGATCCTTCGATTTTGACTGCTCATTTAGTATATTGGCAGCGTGCATTAAAGCGGCATTCAACCGTATAACAAACGTATTAAATTCTTTCAGAGCTCTTGCCGGCCATGAAATGAAGTCTTGAGTTTGACACCCCTGCTCTAAAGACAGACTGTGTCCTTTTTACACACTTTAAACCCCCCTGAGACTAATGTGGATTTTCTGATATTAAACTTTATAAATTAATGTTCACGAGCCTTGAGTTTGACACCCCTGCTTTACCTGAACACTATCCTTGTGTCTCGTGCCTCGGGTGGAGCAGCTGCAGGTCCAGCTGAAGAAGGAAAGAGCGGAGAACCTTCTGATGGAGACTCGGGTCAGAGATGAAATCGGCAAAGAATTCTCCGAGCTCTTCTCCGAGATGCAGAACGATTACAAGTGAGACTTTTTTAATTAATCGGCTGGGATCGTGTGTGTGTGTGTGTGTGGTTGGTAATAAATTAATACGTGTGTGTCAGTGATCGCCTGTCGAGGGACAAAGAGATCCTGGAGGAGAGAGCAGAAACTAGGATGAAGATCTTCAAGAATCTCATCGACAAGATGGCCGACGCTGGACCCGGGCAAGACGCAAAAGCAATGGTAACACAAACACCTGAACATCAGCAGGAGAGCACTCTTTAAAGTAGAGACACTACATACTGATATACACCTGAACATCAGCAGGAGAGGACTCTTTAAAGTAGAGACACTACATACTGATATACACCTGAACATCAACAGGAGAGGACTCTTTAAAGTAGAGACACTACATACTGATATACACCTGAACATCAACAGGAGAGGACTCTTTAAAGTAGAGACACTACATACTGATATACACCTGAACATCAGCATGAGAGGACTCTTTAAAGTAGAGACACTACATACTGATATACACCTGAACATCAGCAGGAGAGAACTCTTTAAAGTAGAGACACTACATACTGATATACACCTGAACATCAGCAGGAGAGGACTCTTTAAAGTAGAGACACTACATACTGATATACACCTGAACATCAGCAGGAGATGACTCTTTAAAGTAGAGACACTACATACTGATATACACCTGAACATCAACAGGAGAGGACTCTTTAAAGTAGAGACACTACATACTGATATACACCTGAACATCAGCAGGAGAGGACTCTTTAAAGTAGAGACACTACATACTGATATACACCTGAACATCAGCAGGAGAGGACTCTTTAAAGTAGAGACACTACATACTGATATACACCTGAACATCAGCAGGAGAGGACTCTTTAAAGTAGAGACACTACATACTGATATACACCTGAACATCAGCTGGAGAGGACTCTTTAAAGTAGAGACACTACATACTGATATACACCTGAACATCAGCAGGAGAGGACTCTTTAAAGTAGAGACACTACATACTGATATACACCTGAACATCAGCAGGAGAGGACTCTTTAAAGTAGAGACACTACATACTGATATACACCTGAACATCAGCAGGAGAGGACTCTTTAAAGTAGAGACACTACATACTGATATACACCTGAACATCAGCAGGAGAGGACTCTTTAAAGTAGAGACACTACATACTGATATACACCTGAACATCAGCAGGAGAGGACTCTTTAAAGTAGAGACACTACATACTGATATACACCTGAACATCAACAGGAGAGGACTCTTTAAAGTAGAGACACTACATACTGATATACACCTGAACATCAGCAGGAGAGGACTCTTTAAAGTAGAGACACTACATACTGATATACACCTGAACATCAGCAGGAGAGGACTCTTTAAAGTAGAGACACTACATACTGATATACACCTGAACATCAGCAGGAGAGGACTCTTTAAAGTAGAGACACTACATACTGATATACACCTGAACATCAGCAGGAGAGGACTCTTTAAAGTAGAGACACTACATACTGATATACACCTGAACATCAGCAGGAGAGGACTCTTTAAAGTAGAGACACTACATACTGATATACACCTGAACATCAGCAGGAGAGGACTCTTTAAAGTAGAGACACTACATACTGATATTCACCTAAGAATGAGCAGAATAGAGCTCATCCAATGCTGTTAAAACATTAATATACTAATGAATGACTTCTCCTCTCACCAAGGATGTGTTGGCTGCCTTTGAGGAGGAGAGGAGAGGAAGAGAGGAAGCCATCACTGCTCTGGAGATCCAAACTACAGGAAGAGAGGAGGCTCTGGCATCTTTACAGAAGGAGAGAGGAGACAACGAGAAACTCCTAGAATCTGAGAGGAGAGCGAAGGATAAGGCCGCTGCAGAGCTCTCAGAAGAGAGTAAACAAAGGATGGAGGTCGTTGCTTCTCTGTGTAGAGAAAGAAGAGTTAGACAGGAGGCTGAGATTCGCCTGGAGGAGGAGAGGAAGGAGGTGAGACGTCTGATGGAGGAAAGAGAAACACTCCAACAGGAAGTCAGAGAGAAGACGTCTAGACTGGAAACCAGCGAGCAGCAGGTGGGCCACACAGTGTGATCTTTGTGAAGTTTTAATCTGTAAATCAACCTGTTGCAGCTCAATTTCCCACTAAATGAAGTCGCAAAAAGGCTATGACTAGGCCCATTACTTCGTCTGTACTTAAGTTAAAGTTTAGGATGTTTAAATGAAGTAAAACAAATAATTGCGAAAGGCAGACAGCAGCAGGTGGGCCTAGGGTTGCTTAGGGTTGCATAGGGTTACTGGCGGCTACGGTATACCGTACCGAAATCAGATCCGGTTTTCGATTAAATTATTATTATTTTCTTATATAAAGTTAGGTGTAATATCCATAAACTCACGCCCAAACCGCCAGCCAATCAGATTGCGCGTCTTGCAACGGCTTCGGTGATTGGCTTGATTGCCAAGCATTGCCCTTCGCCTTCCTCCCGAACGTCTGAGCCTTTCGGTTAGCTTTTGTTTTTTCATTAGCTCGATGTCGGGACGAAAATCTAAAGTGTGGCTGCATATGACTGCCAGTCTGAATGGTGGGGTCTTTAACCACTGCCAGTCTGAATGGTGGGGTCTGTAACCACTGCCAGTCTGAATGGTGGGGTCTGTAACCACTGCCAGTCTGAATGGTGGGGTCTGTAACCACTGCCAGTCTGAATGGTGGGGTCTTTAACCACTGCCAGTCTGAATGGTGGGGTCTGTAACCACTGCCAGTCTGAATGGTGGGGTCTGTAACCACTGCCAGTCTGAATGGTGGGGTCTGTAACCACTGCCAGTCTGAATGGTGGGGTCTTTAACCACTGCCAGTCTGAATGGTGGGGTCTGTAACCACTGCCAGTCTGAATGGTGGGGTCTGTAACCACTGCCAGTCTGAATGGTGGGGTCTTTAACCACTGCCAGTCTGAATGGTGGGGTCTGTAACCACTGCCAGTCTGAATGGTGGGGTCTGTAACCACTGCCAGTCTGAATGGTGGGGTCTGTAACCACTGCCAGTCTGAATGGTGGGGTCTGTAACCACTGCCAGTCTGAATGGTGGGGTCTGTAACCACTGCCAGTCTGAATGGTGGGGTCTTTAACCACTGCCAGTCTGAATGGTGGGGTCTGTAACCACTGCCAGTCTGAATGGTGGGGTCTGTAACCACTGCCAGTCTGAATGGTGGGGTCTTTAACCACTGCCAGTCTGAATGGTGGGGTCTGTAACCACTGCCAGTCTGAATGGTGGGGTCTGTAACCACTGCCAGTCTGAATGGTGGGGTCTGTAACCACTGCCAGTCTGAATGGTGGGGTCTTTAACCACTGCCAGTCTGAATGGTGGGGTCTGTAACCACTGCCAGTCAGAATGGTGGGGTCTGTAACCACTGCCAGTCTGAATGGTGGGGTCTGTAACCACTGCCAGTCTGAATGGTGGGGTCTGTAACCACTGCCCGTCTGAATGGTGGGGTCTGTAACCACTGCCAGTCTGAATGGTGGGGTCTGTAACCACTGCCAGTCTGAATGGTGGGGTCTGTAACCACTGCCAGTCTGAATGGTGGGGTCTGTAACCACTGCCAGTCTGAATGGTGGGGTCTGTAACCACTGCCCGTCTGAATGGTGGGGTCTGTAACCACTGCAAGAAGTTTATTTCTGGAAAAGGCGGCAACACATCCAACCTGTCAAAACATTTGCTCCTGTCACATAAAATCAGAGTACAGGAATGTACAGTCTTCAAGCCCGTGTTGTCAAACGTGTTTTTCATTGTTTGTTCAGTACTAAAAGGTCGAAGTCCCACAATTAATTGTAATATTCATTTGACATGTTAACTATATCATAAAGCGCTTCAATTTTTCCCTTATGCAACATATCACGATATGTATCTGTCGGTATCGTAAAAAAGTCAACGATATGCATCCCTAGGTGGGCCACACAGTGTGATCTTTGTGAAGTTTAATCAACCTGTTGCAGCTCAATTTCCCACTCAATTAAGTCGCTAAAAGGCTATGACTAGGCTCATTACTTTGTCTGTACTAAAGTTAAAGTTTAAGATGTTTAATGAAGTAAAAAAAAACAAAGCTGTCATTTGAATGGCGGTCAATCCGATCAGAAATTTAAGAAAACCGTGGATTTTCTGATCTTCAAAGAGCCCGATTACGATGGCCAGACAGGCAAACAATTACATTAAATCATTGGAAATCCAAGATCAGGCTCGATATATAGTTAAATATAGCAGTTGGTGTAAAATCTACGTCACTTTATGGCCCCGCCCACTTTTGGGGGAAACAACGCTGTCATTTGAATGGCGATCAAGCCTGAAGCCACAGAGCTCTTCTTTTCCTGTCCTTTCTTCTTAGAGGACGTACAGAAACATATAACTCTGGATTTGTTTTAATGTTTGAGGTGCAATAAACGACACAGCATCTTTTGGGCATGATAAAACTATTATTTTCCGCCTCGCTCATGAGAGTAACAGCTGGCGAAATTACAGCCTCGCCTACTGATTTTAATGTAACCATATATCGAGCCCGAACGTCGATTTCAAATGATTGAATGTAATAGTTTGCCTGACTGGCCATCGTAACCGGGCTCTTTGAAGATCAGAAAATCCACGGTTTTCAAACATTTCTGATCGGATTGGCAAAAACTTCAGAATTTGTATTGATCGCCATTCAAATGACAGCGTTGTTTTCCCCCAAAAGTGGGCGAGGCTGTAATTTTCGCCCGGGAGGGACGTAGGCGTTACTCTCATCTATAGCTGCTGGGATAAAACAGTTTTTATACCGCTTCGTTCTACTCATTGGGAAACAGATGGAGGAGAACAGACGGGAAGAGGCGGAGGGACGCAGGGAAATGATGGCCGTCGCTCATGAAGCCATCGCTCAGAAAGACAAGGAGCTGGAGAAGAGAGGCGAGGAAATCAACAGGTAACCCCTTATTTTAAGATAAGATGAAGATAAAAAGTACTTTATCGATCCCAATTTGGGAAATGTTTGCGTTGCAGCAGCATAAAAAGACACGGAATTGTACATTGGAGAATTTAAAAGACTAGAAAATAAACAATCCAAAATGTCATTTTAGTTTAGTTGCCAACACTGTGAAGCTGGAAGTACCGCGATATGTTATGTTAGAAATGTTAAAGGTCACCTATTAGGCAAAATTCACTTTTTCATGTCTTTTATACATAACCATGTGTCCCCTCTGTGCTAAGAGCTTTGGAACGTTTCAGGAACAAGACACCCTCTCTTTTTGTCCTGATCCATTTATATAAAAACCTGAGCTGATCGGACACTTCAGAGACATGTTTTGTAGGGGACCTTAAAAATAGCTTAGGTTATATACAGTTGCGGTCAAAAGTTTGCATATAAAGAACATGTATTTCATGACAGTCTTGACTCTTCAATAATTTCCACAACTCTTATTTTTCTGTGATAGAGGGATTGGAGCACATAGTACTTTGTCACAACACTAAAATCATGAAGTTTGGTTCTTTTATGAATTTAAAATGGGTCTTCTGAAAATGTGATCAAATCTGCCAGGTCAAAAATATACATACAGCAACATGAATGATCAATTTTGGCGATGTAGAAACTTGTGTCAATCTAACTTTGTGACATGGCCTCTTAACTTCTTGTGAGTGATTATAATTGACTTTAGCTGGTAACTCTTTTAAATAGGGCTCATAGGATTAGGCGCTTTCACACTGCAGTACTTTTCCCACTTTAGTTCCGATATAGTTCCGAAATGTTTCGTTCACACCAAAAAGAATCCGGAACTAAAATTAGTTCATGAGAACATTTTTACCCCCTTTTCAGTCCCTGCTAGAGAGCAGGGACTTTCGTGGGAGAAAAAGGTTCCTATTTCTGATTAGCTGGGCGGATTGCAAACCACGCCCCGTAAAACTCCCAAAAAGTTTTGTGAAGCCGCCATTTTATTATCCTGGCATTAGCATTATTAGCATTAGCATTAGCCCAGCGCACAAACGCAGAGAGACTAACTTATGGCAACACAACATAAAACATGGGAGCGGTGGAGATGAGGAGGTGTCGGCGTTCTGGCGATTTACTCTGAAGGCTTCAGTAGAAGCTGCTGGGAGTCCCAGCTGCTTCTACTGAAGCCTTCCCCAACTCCGGGGACTCCGGGTGGCAGTATACGCCGTGAAGTTGTTTGCCGCCTGCCAGTAAACCCAAAGCAGAAGAAGAAGAAGTGACGTCAGCATCTTCATTTTCCTAATCCTCCCCCAGGGACTTATTCCGGTGTGAACGCGATCTGTACTTAGTTCATCAGAACTAAAGAGTTCTCATGAACCTTTGTGGGAAAAGTACTGCGGTGTGAAAGCGCCTATTCATTAGACTCAGCCACATCACTACAATGGAAAAGTCAAAGAAGCTCAGTATGGATCTTGTTCCAATCACTCTATCACAGAAAAATAAGAGTTGCAGTAATTATTGAAAAGTCAAGACTGTCATGAAATACATGTTCTTTCCAAGTCTATCTAAACGTTTGACCACAACTGTAGCTGTCAGAAAGAGATTCCTCAAACTCTGCTCTGGATTTAAACGTTCACTCAAAAGATGGCATTAGGGCAACAGCGCCACCTACCTCTATTTTAGCAAATGTCCTACATGTATGAAATTTGGTGGGAAAATGTAACGCATGGGAACGACAAAGAAAGTACATTAAAGCAAGACTGTAAACCCAACAGGAAGTCGGCTATTTTATATTTAATGGCAGTTTTCCCCTATTTTAGGGTTTCGTATTTTATATGGATTTGTTGCTCTCCCAGTCAGTCACAATGCTCGAAGAAGGATCTCTGTTGAACATTCATTGAAATGCCCTTTTTCAAATCTAGTTGAATTGAAAACACATTTGATAAAAATACGGTGTACTTCTAGTCCTCCATTAGCAAGTGTTGTGGGATGGCTAGCTCTTTAGGATGCTAACAACAACCTAAAATGTAATATCATTATATTGGACTTTATCAAATGAACTGTCACGGAGCATTCTTCAGTTTGTTGTCCTGTTATCTTGAAGTTTATTATCCTACTCTCTCTGGAGATAAAGGGTAAGAAACTCTGTATTATCTTGTCTTTCGCTCCTGTAGCAAACTATATTATTCTGTCATTGTAAAATACATTTTCTTCCTATTACGCTGCCGTTGAAGTCCCTCTGTGTCGAGGGAGCGTCTTATTTATTTAACATAAAGAGTGTGTGAAGAAGCTGTTGTTGTTCAGGAGGTCACAGAGCTCTCTCCTGTCTGTTTTTGAGGAATGGTTTGCAGCTCATCGTTATCTCTCGTCTCTTCCTCCCAGACTAAAAGAAAGCACCAAGCAGGACTCGGACGAAGTGAAGAGTCTGAGCGTCGACCTTCAGAGGAAAGAGGACGACTCGTCAGACCTCAAAGAGAAACTGGCCGACTACAAGAAGCAGATCCAGCAGGTCCAGAAGGAGGTACACGACGTTTATTTGATATCCTTTGCTCCATTGCTACCTAAAACAACATTTGTAATGTCATATAAGTAGGGATGTCCCGATCACCTTTTTTTGCTCCCGATCCGATTCCGATCATTTGATTTTGACAATCTGCCGATACCGATTTTTCCCGATCCGATCTTTATGCAATGCATTAAGAGAAAAAAAAGGTAACAGATAACGGCTGGTCATCCAACGCGATGAATTCAGCTATCTTGGCTGTTCTTTTTTTGGCCTTTTCACTGTTCTGGGGCAGTTTCTCTTTCCTTTTAAAAGTCTCTGAAAGTGTCGGTTGTTTCTGTGCCGTTACCTGAGTGGCCGCTGTGTACTCGTCGTGTTGTTGTTGGTGTTCGTATTAGATTGGTCGTGTTGAACGTAGCTCTGTTCTTCCCACCACGCGGAACCTCCGCCTTGCAAACATTGCATCTGGCTGTTACACTGCCTTCGCTTTCAATTTTATAATACTTCCAAACTCCTGACATTTTCTCTGTCCCGACTCCCGAGGCACCAGCTGAACGTAGCCTCTTGTTAGCTTACTGCTACTATTAGACACTGCGCCCTGCCCACTCTGTTGCCAGATTTCCCGATTTTTTTCTCCCGATTCCGATCTTTTGAAAATCACGTGATCGGCTCCGATCCCCGATCACGTGATCGGATCAGGACATCTCTACATATAAGAGTTAAAGAGGAGATGGGGTTCTGAGTTTACACAATTTCATGTTGAAGAGATGTTTTTGGGTAACACTTTATATTAAGGTACAGAAATTAAAGGTGGGCTAGGTAAGTTTTGAGAAACCGGGATCGAGATCGCTAGAATTTGAAAATACACAACCGGAGAAAATCTGCCACTTCCTCACAGAGCCCCTCCTCCAACACACACGAACGCGCACATGACCAATGAGGGCACGAGATAAGTTTGTGCACAGATGGAAGGCTGACAGGCAGGTAGGCCATCCAGTTATTTTAGCCGGGCCGGCTCAGATGATTGGTCGTGCTTTTTACAGTACCACGGCTTCCACAGATGACGTTTATTTTTATGTATTTTTTGTCAAAGCACTTAAGATATTCATTGCTATCGGGATGTTAAGAGCATTCCATGGAATATAACAAGTGTATCTCGAGACGGTTTCTCAAACTTACCTACCCTACCTTTAACCATCAACTAGTTGTTAATTAGCATGCATGTTAGCAGTATGTTGGCTCTTTATTAGTCATTACACATGTATTTACAAAGTGTGAAAGGGGGCAACTTTAGAATATATTTAATGATGTCTTGTTACGTAAGAATAGACCATATTTGTTTGGTGTTATTATTACGGGAGAATTATTATTCTTGTGGTTCTGGTGCCTTATTCGGCCCGTATCTTTTCATTGTTATTGTATCGCAGTCATGCAATTTATAAAGGAAACCATTTTAAGAAGACGCTGAAGCAGCTTTGTGGACACAAGCCCAAAATGACTTGGATGTGTGATGTTGTGTAAACTCTTGTTTCTTCCCGAAGATCTCGACCATGAGAGAAGAGGAGAAGCTTTCGAAGCAGAAGCTGACCGACATGGAGAAATCCAAGAGGCAGCTTCAGTCCGACATCGCCAGCAGAGACAGAACCATCCAGACACTCAGAGTGGTAAAAACAACACGCCAACATTTCTCAAGGTCTTTTAGAAGAAACTCTCTGTTCAGTGCCAGGATGTAGTCCCATAGATTTCCCTTTGAATGGTGTAGTGATCTCCTTACTGGTGTAGTGATCTCCTTACTGACGTATTGATCTCCTTACTGGTGTAGTGATCTCCTTACTGGTGTGTTGATCTCCTTACTGGTGTAGTGATCTCCTTACTGACGTATTGATCTCCTTACTGGTGTAGTGATCTCCTTACTGGTGTAGTGATCTCCTTACTGGTGTATTGATCTCCTTACTGACGTATTGATCTCCTTACTGGTGTATTGATGTTGTTCAAATCACAAATCAAAACTCACCTCTTCAGAACTGCTTTTAACCCTTAATTAATGTTGTGTTTTATATATTTTCAGTGTGTTTTAATGATGTGTTTATGATGTTTTGCTCTGTAAAATGTCTTTGAGTTTCTAGAAAAGCGCTATATAAATATAATGCATTATTATTATTATTATTATTGATCTCCTTCGCCTTCCTTCACTCCTTTATGAACAATCATCTGACTCCAAGACTGACACGCTCCACCAGAAATCCTGCACAGGTAAACAATGTGTTTGTTTGAAGGCTTTATCATCATGTGCACATTAGCTACAGTGGAGATATACCAATGAAACACTGAAGTCCCAGGCTCCTCCAACAGAGCAGCGTGGATATATAGGACATGGAACAAATAAAACAGATGAAATAGTGCAAGAGAATGTTTTGAGATGTGCAAGTAAATACAAATAAAATGTATATAGACTCTTCTTGCACTATTTCTAAGTAGATGGAATGATGTATAGATAGATAATTAGCAAAATGCAAACCTGTGTGTGACTGTGTGTGTGACACTGTGTGTGACTGTGTGTGACTGTGTGTGTGAGACTGTGTGTGTGACTGAGTGACTGTGTGTGACTGTGTGTGAGACTGTGTGAGACTGTGTGTGAGACTGTGTGTGACTGTGTGAGACTGTGTGTGTGACAGTGTGTGAGACTGTGTGTGTGTGACTGTGTGTGTGAGACTGTGTGTGTGACTGAGTGACTGTGTGTGACTGTGTGTGAGACTGTGTGAGACTGTGTGTGAGACTGTGTGAGACTGTGTGTGAGACTGTGTGTGTGACACTGTGTGTGAGACTGTGTGTGAGACTGTGTGTGTGACTGTGTGTGTGAGACTGTGTGTGTGAGACTGTGTGTGACTGTGAGACTGTGTGTGAGACTGTGTGTGAGACTGTGTGAGACTGTGTGTGTGACTGTGAGACTGTGTGTGTGACTGTGTGTGAGACTGTGTGTGTGTGACTGTGTGTGACTGTGTGTGAGACTGTGTGTGTGAGACTGTGTGTGTGACTGAGTGACTGTGTGTGAGACTGTGTGTGACTGTGTGTGTGACTGTGTGTGTGACTGTGTGAGACTGTGTGTGTGACTGTGTGTGTGACTGTGTGTGTGAGACTGTGTGTGAGAGACTGTGTGTGAGACTGTGTGTGAGACTGTGTGAGACTGTGTGTGAGACTGTGTGAGACTGTGTGTGACTGTGTGTGACTGTGTGTGTGACTGTGTGACTGTGTGTGTGACTGTGAGACTATGTGACGTGTGTGACTGTGTGTGTGTGACTGTGTGAGACTATGTGTGTGACTGTGAGTGACTGTGTGACTGTGTATGACTGTGTGTGACTGAGACTGTGTGTGTGACTGTGTGACTGTGTGTGTGACTGTGTGTGTGTGAGACTGTGTGTGTGACTGTGTGTGTGACTGTGTGTGTGACTGTGTGAGACTGTGTGTGTGAGACTGTGACTGTGTGTGTGACTGTGTATGACTGTGTGTGACTGTGTGTGTGACTGTGTGACTGTGTGTGTGACTGTGTGAGACTATGTGTGTGACTGTGTGTGTGTGACTGTGTGAGACTATGTGTGTGACTGTGAGTGACTGTGAGACTGTGTGTGTGACTGTGTGTGTGTGACTGTGTGTGTGTGAGACTGTGTGAGACTATGTGTGTGACTGTGTGTGTGTGACTGTGTGTGTGTGACTGTGTGTGTGTGACTGTGTGTGACTGTGTGTGTGTGACTGTGTGACTGTGTGAGTGTGTGTGTGACTGTGTGTGTGTGACTGTGTGTGTGACTGTGTGTGTGTGACTGTGTGTGACTGTGTGTGACTGTGTGTGTGACTGTGTGACTGTGTGTGTGTGACTGTGTGAGACTATGTGTGTGACTGTGTGTGACTGTGTGACTGTGTATGACTGTGTGTGTGACTGTGTGTGTGTGACTGTGACTGTGTGTGTGTGACTGTGTGAGACTGTGTGTGACTGTGTGACTGTGTGTGAGACAGTGAGTGACTGTGTGAGACAGTGTGTGAGTGAGCAATCTGTCCTGTATGTTGAAAGAGATGTATCTTTACATTTAGTAGTACCTGTTTTGCTGTGTTGGAGCAAGGTGTTTATTTTGGGTAATTCTGTCTGTCTGTGTTTTAAACCTGTACATCTGTTTGTGTTTGTGTGTGTACTTTTAGACCTTGAATCCACGCAGCGTGTGATGGAGGATATGCGTCTGGCTCTGACGGAGCAGGAGGAGACGCAGGAGCAGATGGAAACCGTCCTGGAGGAGAAACTCAACGTCATCCAGGAGCTCTCCAGCGGTAAGGAGCCAAACAAAACAAAAATAGAGCATTGATTGATTTACTTATCACACAAAACATTCTGCTTCCCTCGACATCTTCAAGTCTTCATTTAAAAACTCACCTGTTCACCGTGACCTTTGACCCCTAACCCATCACAGCTTCCACTCCTACTGCTATTTATTTAGTTTTTACTTTATTATTTGCCCCGTTTGTTTGTTTGTTTTTTTGTTCACCACGTAAAGCGGCCTCGGGTCCCTTAAAGGCGCTTTACTCATTTCTGATTCTCCTTAAAACAACATTTTCTGTGTCTTCTTCTCTGGTTTCAGAGGTGGAGAAGTTGAAAGGAATGTTGTTGCAGCAGGATCGCCGTGGAAACGATGCAAATGATCAAACCACCGGCCAATCGGATGACCTCAAACAGGCCATACAGGAAGTGGCCCAGTCACAGGAACGCTTCAAGGTTAACAAAGGACACATTTTAAAAGTTGGATAAATCAACAATCCGTCGCTTATCTTCGTAAAATGTCCACAAATTTGGTGCGACACTATTTCTAAATCACTGATCCTCGTACAAAAACTGGCTTTGAACTAGAAAATATCTAATTTCAAAGCAACCAGACAACACACACACATATACTCTATGTGCTGAAGTTCTTTAATAACAACTAGGAAGACTATTTCTTTATATATATATACGCAGGGGTGCACATAACTGGTACGCAGGTACGCATGCGCGGCAACAATCTGAAATGCGTACCGTCACTTGTCACAAAGCGCATTTGCGTACTGACGTACTTGTGAAGCTTTTCCAGAAGGCGGTTAGATCACCGGACGGCAGAGTCGGTCTCCTTGTGCACAGACAGGGCTGCTGTTAACGTCGGTCTGTACAGCAGCCCTGCGCTAAAACAGCTGATCACAACCTTCACACGCGCTGTGGTCAAGAAGCTCAGTACTCCACTACCACCCCCTCCCCCCCTTGTGTGCACCCCTGTATATACGCATGTAATTTGGGATTTAGCTCAATCCACATGTTAAATCAGGGGTGTCAAACTCAATTTCATGGCGGGCCACATCAGCGTTATGGTTGCACTCAAAGGGCCGATTGTAACTTTAATGCTGCGTTTAGAGCGATGCGATAAGAGCGAAGCGAATATTCGCATCGCTTCCAGAGTCGGTCTCCGTGTGCACAGACAGGGCTGCTGTTAACGTCAGTCTGTACAGCAGCCCTGCGCTAAAACAGCTGATCACAACGTTCACATGCTCCGCGGTCACGAAGCTCTGTACTCTACTACCAACCCCCCCCCCCCCCCCCCCCCCCCGTTGACAATCGCGAAGCGCTGTACTCCACTGACGCTACCCCCCCCCCCTGTTGACAATCGCGAAGCGCTGTACTCCACTGACGCTACCCCCCCCCCCCTGTTGACAATCGCGAAGCGCTGTACTCCACTGACGCTACCTCCCCCCGTTGACAATCGCGAAGCGAAATATTTCAGAAATTAATTTGAAACTTTATCAAATTAGGCTTCATCAAACAGCAACACACTCATTTAAACCAGACGGGTCACAAAATAAAAAATTGTGGAGGATCAGGCTTTGGTGGTCGGCTCCCATCTCGGCGCACAGCTGGGAGAAGAGGCGAGATTTCAGGGGCCTTGATTTGATGTAATTCACCATCTGCACAGCCTGATTCAGCACCTCAGTCAACTCCGGGGGCATGGTTTTGGCAACTAATGCCTCTCTATGCAAAATGCAGTGGTTTGTCACGATATGTGGGTTTTGTGCTCTCACCTTAGCAATAAATCCTTTCACTCTCCCCGTCATGCTTGCCGCATCATCTGTGCAAAGACTGATGCACATATTCCAGGTCAGACTGTTCTCTTTTAAATAGTTATTAGTTACCCTGAATATTTCTTCTCCCGTAGTATGGCTTTCCATTTCTTTGCAAAAGAAAAACGTCTCTTTGATAGAGTCAGCATCAACATATCTGACGTTTGCCAGAAGTTGGGCAGCCCCACTTATGTCAGTAGATTAATCTATTTGTAGGGAAAATCTGCCGCTCGCCTGCAGTGCCATAAGACAGGTAACTTTCATGATACTGTCTGCTGACAGTCTTTTTCCTCTTTTCTTTCGGTGGTGGGTTGTCGGCAGTCGCTGCACTGGTGGTTGGTGGTTTGCTCCGCACAAGAAAGCGCTCCATTTTCCCTCTTGCGTGTTTCTCTGTTTTAATGTTGTCCTTCAGCCTTCGATGTGTCACGGTCTTATAATTCCCACCTGCAACTGCGTTAACAGCGAAATATGGGGTTCTGTGAGGATTTTTTTTTAAAGAATTGTTTTTAGGTATAGAGTTTGCCTCTGTATTATGAAATGAGTGCATACAAACTACTGATATAGTAAATTAAAAAATAATTATTTTTGTGTAGTTGTATATTGCAATAATAACGTATGGTTGTCACAAAATCCCACGGCACACCCGGACTTGCCTCACGGCACACCAGTGTGCCGCGGCACACCGTTTGGGAACCACTGGGCTAAGCTAACGTTGTAGCTGCTCCGTCCACACTCACAACAACGGCCTACAGACATAAATAAACCAGCGACTGTATTCACCATGACACAGACAGTCTGTGGTTTGACATATTTTATTCTTTCAGAGCTCTTGAGGCTCGCATTAAATGAAGTCGAGGGCCAAATCCTTGAGTTTGACCCCCCTGTGTTAAACAAATGTTCCTCTTTGTTTTCTACCAGCTGTGTTCAGAGAAACATCAGAGCGAGCGCAGGAAGTGGCTCGATGAGAAGCTGCTTCTGATTGGCCAGGCTAAAGAGGCGGAGGGCAAGAGGAACCAGGAGATGAGGAAGTTTGCTGAAGACAGAGAGCGGCACGCCCGACAGCAGAGCCAGCTGGTAGGAACACGAGGATATCAAAACATGTCGTTATCTCAAAGCCCCGCTGAGATAAAGTCAACCTGCAGCTTAAAGAAATCCTGCTTAGACTCATGACAGTTAAAACCAGAGATGTCAAAAGTACAAACATCCTTTCCTCAAGTAGAAGTACAGATACTCGTGTTTAAAAATACTCTGGTGAAAGTAGAAGTACTGACTAAACTTCTTTACTCAAGTAAAAGTAAAGAGGGCTTGGAAATGTACTTAAAGGGGACCTATCATGCAAAATGCACTTTTGTACGTCTTTTATACATGAATATGTGTCCCCGGTGTGTCAGGGAACTCACCAAGTGTTAGAAAACACAACCCTCTCTATTTTCCTCCATACCCAAATGTCTAAAAACGGGGCTGCAACGAAGCTGATTATTATTTTAAATTGTTCTGACGTCAGAAACGGGGAGCTCCGCCTATATGGGCAACTCTCCACATATCAGGGGAATGAGAGGTTGCCGTGGCATGGTAACCGCATGGTAACCGCATGGTAACAGCATGGTAACAGCATGGTAACAGCATGGTAACATGACGCTCGTGCCTCGCCCCCCTCCTTTGCAGGGGGGCGTGGTCAGCTGCAGCTCATTTGCCACAGAATCAGCCCTTGCAAAAACAGGGCTGGAATACAGCAAATAGAGCAAACTGAGGCATGGCAACACACGTCTACATAATTTAACACTCGAACTTCTCCATTCAAAGCCCCCGTTAGCGTAAAATCTGAGCGCAATCAGCGCCTGCAAGGTTGGGGAGAGCGTTTCTGTCTGATCCGTGCTGTAGTTGAGGGGAGATCTCCTCGATTAATTCAAAAAGGGCTTGTCTGCCGAAACGAAACCTCTCCATCAGCTCACTGAATAGATGTCCAGTGGGTTTGTTCGATCACGGACGACTCTTTCTCTTCTTAATGCCCTTTCATTGTTAAACATGTAAACAAGACGCACTGCCATCGCTATGTTCCTTCTTGCCTGTTTTACGTTACCATGGATACTAGTCTGTCTTTCCGATTTACGCCTGCTCCACACTAGGCGTAAAAGTTACACCCAGGCGCAACGCATACAGGGCTTAAGTGGTGCACTAGTCATAACTTTAGTTTGGTCTTAACCTTCGGTTCTACGTCGGACGTAGAGTTACGCTCAGTCGTACGCCCAGCTGGTGCACTCCACTCCTGAAGATCTTTAACCCTTTGGAATCCTGGGCTAATTTGGCTGTGTTCACATACTTTTGATTTGTCTTACAAAACCCCATTAAGAAATGTTTAGCATGTCAATATTTGGCATATATTTTTTTAGACAACCTTAACTATATCAACTGATTCGTCATGTTCTCAAAGCACCGCTGAGATAAAGTCAACCTGCAGCTTGAAAAAATCTTGCTTAGACTCATGACAATTAAACTTAATCTGATAATATGGAGGTGAAATGTCCTAAAAAGGCCACCGTACAGAGGATAAAACATGGTCACAAGACTATAATATTCTACTTTTCTTTGTATGTCTTTCTCCCTCACACACACACTCTAACAATACATTACAAAACCAGTATTTCCTCTCACGTTTTCCTGCATCTCCATGTCTGTGTGTTCCCAGGAGTCGTTGTCCTCCCAGCTGGCGGAGAAGGAGCAGCTGATGGAGAAATGGAGGAAGGAGAGAGACACTTTAGTCTCTGCTCTGGAGGTCCAGTTACAGAAGCTGCTCTCCAGCCAAGTGGAGAAAGATAAGCTCATCCAGCAGCTGCAGAACAATAGCACACACACACCAGCAGAGGTCAGTGCAACACAAAGAACACAAGATGGAACTTTATTTATCCCCTTGGGGAAATTCAGGTGTTTGTGGCAGCAACAGCTTGAGAGTTAAAAACAGGATTCACACACGCAAAAATAAAATGATAAAGTAACTATTGAAACAGGATATCAGAGTAAGAAGTTGAGCATTTGTATGAACATGTTTTAATGTACACAAGTGTGCAGATTTGATCTAGCATAACACACACTGAAGATGTCAGAAGGGTCTGCTTTTTACACCGAAGAGACTGACCAGGAGCATTTAGAGATAGAGAGGGAGGATACATGCTCGTATTTCCAGATATCATTCCTCCTGTCATGGCTTTTATTGGATTGTTTCACCTTCAGGAAAAAGTAGTTTGAGACATCCTGGTAGTGTGATTTTTTCACTTCTGCACACTGAGAGTTTGAAACAACGAGTTTCATTCAGTGTTATTTCACCTTTTTTAAATAAGATCTCTTGCAAGAACGCACCCAAATGTTAGGCAGGGAAAAAGAACATATGGTCGAATATCTAAATTGTGCTTAAGGCGAATTATTTACACAAGACAATTTGACCAGAGAGCAGTGTTTCCGCCAGACCAGGGCTGGGAGGGCGTCCACCCCGAGAGCGGGGGGGGGTGTGACGTCACGTCTTGTCATGTGACTTGATTTTTGAATTGAGCCGTCCCTTATAGATACTATCTCTTTACGTATTAGTGATGGGAATTCATTTGGCTCGGCTCACTAAGAAGAGCCGGCTCTTTCCGCTCCTAAACGGCTCTTCATTTTACAACAGTTTACCACGGAGCCTCAGTTTCGCCGCTGCGAGGCTCCGGCGCTCGCAGTTCACGCGCATGCTCCACTAGCACCCCCCGTCAAGGCTCGCCGGCAGTACACTTTCCGTCACAGGAACACGCTTTGCTGGCAGCGAAAATAATCCTACCAGACTCCTTTGCCCCTCCAACAGAGGGATGTCCTTGTCCTTTTTCCTTTTCGTCATTTCAAGCGATTAAAAACTCTCGATCTTCTCTCAAATTATTTATTTTTTTGGACGCCCTCGGCTCGAGTTCAGGGCGTTCCGAGCTGAATAATGACGGCAAGACGCCACCCTGGCGGAAACGCTGCCAGAGAGACTTACATTTGCCAAACTTCTACAGATTCTTATGGTCAAAGTATTGAGAATTACAAGCTAATAGAAACACTGACTGTATGCTGGTTTGCAACACAATTCAACAGAAGCATATAAGTTAAATAACACCCTTTTCTACGAGTGAACATGGCGGCAGATGTTCTTAAACTTTTGAGCAGCTTTCCAGGCTTTTGGGTCAATAACGTCTTCCACTTGTCAGGTCTTTTTATTTTCGTCCCGCTCTGTGTGTTTGCTGGTGTCTCAGCTCTGTTAACATCTCTGTTTCCGATGCGTTGCATAACATTTCCCCGCTGAGCTTCTGTGAGCTTTTTACAAATGACATAATATCTGTCATTGTGACACAGCTGCAGAACAGCCGGTGTGAAGGGCAGGCTGTAAGGATTCGACAAATCAAATTGACGCTGCGCTCATGTCTGGTTAGAGCCGTATTGATTTAGAAATTGGACGGATAATAGCCGCTAATTTTATGCCCGGCGTCTTTATCTGGGAATCCACGGAGGATATGAAGGAAAACTCGATACAGCAGTGAAATGTCCACATTGCAGGGCTCATTTTCATTCTCTGCTCCTCGTTTTTGTGCATGTGGTGCTTGGAAATGCCTTTTTTAAATGTCATGCAGGCACACCAATAAGTATGAGGTGGTGCACTTTCATATCTCTAGTGCACCAACTCAACATTATTTTGCCCATAAAAACAGGTATAAGAAAACTGTCCAGCACCAAAATATCACACCCTGTTCTATTTCGTATATGGCTTCGCCCTCTAAGGCTATCGCTATTGGGTAATCCCCCTGCGCACCCGCGCAGCACTGAAAACACTTGTAGTCCACGCCCGCCCGCAAGGTGGGCCCCACCCACGGGCTCCCTTCCGGTATAAATAGGAAGGGGACCCGACAATCTGCTCCCTCTTTTTCTTCAGCACCCCGAGTTACTGAAGCACTGAGACGTATATCCGAGAAACCATGAGCAACGGTTGTGTAAGAGATTGTCCCTCATGTGGAAACGGATATATATTTAGTTATGATCGGCACACTGAATGCGAATTCTGTCTGGGGCCAGAGCACGCGTACGCGGCTCTCAGCCAGCAGATTGCATGCCAGCACTGTGCCTATCTCCCCTCGGCCGACAGGAAGCGTAGAGCGGACGCTCTCGCTGCTGCGACCGAGGAGGACGATTCGTCCTCCTGGAGCCGAAACGTGCCCCTGGAGCCGAGTGCCGGGCAGGAGTCGGACGACTCCGACCCCATCTCCCTCCACGGTTCACCGTATGGTTCTCCCCTCCCTCCTCTCCCCCGGAGGGGGGAGACAGAGTCGGAGCAGGGTGTCGACTTGGCCGAGCACGCGGTCCCCTTCTCCGCCACCACGGCGCTGCCGGCGATAGGTGGCATCCTGCTGGAACTGCCGGGGATCATCTGCAAGGCGGCCGCCTGCAGAGGTCTCCCCGTTCCCCCAGCTCAGGAGAGGAGTGCTCCGGACGACATGGCCGGAGTTTTTTCGCGGGTGCAGACGGTCAGGAGTGACCCGATCTGGCCACGCTTTCCCGCCATCAGGAGGTACCAGGAAGGGGCGGCGGCGAACCCGAGGACTCTCAAGGCCCCGGTGTCCACGTTTGTTCCCCTCACCAAGGTGGAGGGTTTTACAGACGAGGGATTCCCAGCCACCCCTTCGCTGGAGCCGGGCCTGACGGCGTTTTTTGGGGTAAGGCAGGCCAACATGATCGCCGGACGGCGCCCTACGTTGGCCTCCCCCAGGGACCAGTATGTTGCCCGCCAGGCCGACCGGGTGCACCAGTGTGCCTTTCAGGCGTCGGCGGCGGCAAACAACATCGCGCTGCTGTCCAATTCGGTGGTGACGCTGGTGGAGCGGTCCACCACCTTGGCCGCTGACGAAGCGGAAGAGATCGCCAAGGCTGCCAGCACGGCGCTCACACTGTGTGCGTCTGTTGCTGTCTCCCAGGCCAGAATCGCCGCGTGGGTGACGCAAATCCAGCGCCACCTCTGGCTGCAGCAGGCGTCCGTTACGGAAACGGCCAGAAAAGTGCTGCTGGATGCTCCAATCAGCTCGGACGGGCTGTTCGGACCCCAGTTCCACGCCATGGTGGAATCCATGAAGGCGGCTGCGGAACAGGCAGACGACATCCGCCAGCACGTCAGCTGGCTCCAGCCTGCTGGGCGGCACCAACACCCGCAGCAGCCGCAGCGGCTGCAACAGCCGCAGCGTCCAACCAGGGAGGGGCGGCCACGGCGGCAGGCGGAGAGATACCAACCGCAACCGCGGCGTCAGCGCCCGTCGGCGGCGGCAGGGGCTCCGCCCCGCGTCTCCGCTCCCCCGCCACCCCAGAGACGGAGGGGTCTCTCGGCGGTGAGCCAACGGGGAGGGGGGCACTCCCGCTCTGTTTCCGCTCCACGTGAGCCTCCAAAAAAACAGAGCCGCCTTTGACGTGTTGGGGGGGATAGTGAGACTAATAAAATGGGGTTCATTTTTCAACTTTTTGTCTGAGTCATCAGTATCATCAAGTGTTTCTCACATATCCTCCACTCTGTGTAAACCAGCTGCCTATAACCTATCGGTTAGTAGCCAGCAGGGTTCGTTGCACTTTTTAATCTATCGATTAATAAACTGCAGAGTTTGCCAACTAAGCCAGCTGCCATCAATCTGTTGATTAGTAGGCAGCAGGGCTCGCTGCAGAAACCTGCTGGTTTTAACCTATCGGTTAATAAACCGCAGAGTTCGCGGCATTCCTCTGTCCGAGATACGTCTCCTACACACGGTCATAATAAACCCATGAGCGCCGTTATAACGCCTCATGTGGTTAACACTGTCTCCATTCATCCCCTGAGCGTGTACACGCCTCATGATGAGAGCCAGAGTGAAACGCAACGTGTGGAGGCTCCCTCACAGCCCTTTCGCGTCAGGCCCACCTTGGGTTGCCTCACAGGCAGCGGCGGCAAGGGCTCTAACGTGGCTCGTCGCCAAGACGGCCACAACACATCTCGACCATGTGCGCCCGCTCTCAGAGAATTTCTCAGAGCGACAGCGCGTGTGTCTGATGGACAGATGGATGAGCAGGCTGATCAGCAGAGGGTACACCCTGCAGTTCCTCCACAGGAGGAGACTCCAGAGGTGGGTCATTCGCTGCAGAAAGCCTGCTGTTTTAACCTATTGGGTTATAAACTACATAGCTCGCTCGAGTTGTCCTCTTCCCCCCCAGACATTCATTTATCTGCGAGTGGAATAAAACTCAGCAACAGAGTGCGGCTCTCGCTGCAGCGAGTGGAGGAACTGACAGCTCCCTATCCAGCGTGTCACATCCCACAGCGTGGTGACAGCCCTCTCCGTGATACAGCTGCTCAGCATGACGTCAGCTGATCACGTGGGGATTCCCCAGGGTCTCCCCCACAGGAGGGGTCTCCAGAGGTGGTTCATTCGCCCACGCACCGACCCCGTGCGTCAGGGGTAAATGTGCTGGAGCTGTTCTCCGGGTTGGGAAGTATTCCAACACTTCGCCCCGTTGCTGTACAACCAAACATGTGTTGATTCGCCCAGCCAACAGGCCATGGCAGCCTACCTCAATCGCCAGGGAAGACAGCCGTTTATGCTAAACCGGCTTCACAAGGCCATCACAAACTTTTTAGGTTAAGAGTGATCACCCTGGCTGGCTTCTTTCCCCCTCCTCAAAGCCAGAGGAATGTTCCTCCTCCACGGCTTGCACGGAGGAATGTCAGTGGCAGACATTTGCACAGTTGCATATTGGTCTTCTCCCTGTTCATTATTCAATTTTATTTGAGGGATGTCCCATTCCGCTCTGACACACCCTGTGCTGAGTGTCCTGTCAGAGTGAGTGACGTCAGGGATCCAGCTGTGCGCCTCTCTCCTGCCTCGGCACACGGAGAGTGGCCTGTATTTCCCTCTTATGAGAGGGACGTCCCCCTTTTTTCCCCTGACACATTTCGTACGGAATGTCTTGTCAGAGTGTGTGATGTTGGGGACCCAGCTGTGCGCTCTTCTGCCTGTCTGCACGCAGAGAGCTGCTATTCCCCCTCCTTCTGTCACTGGGCAAAGTGTGACTTTCGTCTCTACTTTCTCACAGCGGACGGGTATGTATTATTCCCAGCCTTCGTCCTCTCATGGTAAATATTCATGTTATGACATATTCCAGGGACTGTGATGCGCCATTCGCATGGCGCAATAGGCTTGGGTTATTATCTGAGCAGGTGTGTTTGTGCTTCTTGTACCGGGGCAACCCAGTGGGGCGCAGACTACATCTTGCTTCGCCCTTAACCCAATAGCGATAGCCTTAGAGGGCGAAGCCATATACGAAATATAACTGAGGTTACCTACTGTAACCCCAGCTTCTATGAGTATTGGCGTAGCCCTCTAAGTTCTGGGCCCCACTGGCTCCACGAATAGCTGAAGAAAAAGTTTTTGTGTGGGAGCAGATTGTCGGGTCCCCTTCCTATTTATACCGGAAGGGAGCCCGTGGGTGGGGCCCACCTTGCGGGCGGGCGTGGACTACAAGTGTTTTCAGTGCTGCGCGGGTGCGCAGGGGGATTACCCAATAGCGATAGCCTTAGAGGGCTACGCCAATACTCATAGAAGCTGGAGTTACAGTAGGTAACCTCAGTTTTGTTGTGTTGAGGCAAATATACATGTATATAAAGCTAAATGAATGACAACATGTTGATATTGACGTGACACTGACATTGTTAGAAAGTAAGTTAGACAATGGATTAAAAACATGCTTTATTCAGGTATACATAACTTAAATTCTGACCAGAAATTGAGTTTAATTAACATCTTTTGGCAAAAAAGTGATTTGAGCGTTCAGAAAAACAACGCTTTTCCACATTTCAGTCATCTATGAAAATAAATACATCATTATCTATTAATTTAATTATTTATTGTTTATTTAAAATTGTAGGCCTAAAAATAAGTAAATACATACAAAATAATGTAATTTTATTTGTTTGCATTTTTTTGTAAAAATGACTTAATTGTGTCAGTATTTTCAAATAATAATAATAACCATTGTTAAGCCTGCTTCCTATCCCCAAAAATGTATTTATTTGTTTTAGTCTCATTTTCATCTATATCAGTGGTTCAAAGCCTTGGAAACGATAGACAGATAGATAGATAGATAGATAGGTAGGTAGATGGATGGATAGGTAGGTAGGTAGGTAGGTAGGTAGGTAGGTAGGTAGGTAGGTAGGTAGGTAGGTAGGTAGGTAGGTAGGTAGGTAGGTAGGGTAGGTAGATGGATAGGTAGGTAGATGGATGGGTAGGTAGGTAGGTAGGTAGGTAGGTAGATGGATGGATGGATGGATGGATGGATGGATATATGGATGGATAGGTAGGTAGGTAGGTAGATATACAGTATAGGTAGGTAGATGGATGGATAGGTAGGTAGGTAGGTAGATAGATGGATGGATGGATAGATAGGTAGGTAGATAGATGGATGGATGGATAGGTAGATAGGTAGATATATAGGTAGGTAGATAGATAGGTAGATGGATAGATAGATAGATGGATGGATAGGTAGGTAGATGGATAGGTAGGTAGGTAGATATACAGTATAGGTAGGTAGATAGATGGATAGGTAGATGGATGGATGGATAGATAGGTAGGTAGATGGATGGATGGATAGATAGATGGATGGATAGGTAGATAGGTATATATAGGTAGGTAGATAGATAGGTAGTTGGATAGATAGATGGATAGGTAGATAGGTAGATAGATAGGTGGATGGATGGATGGATGGATAGGTAGGTAGGTAGATAGGTAGGTGGATGATAGATAGATGGATAGGTAGGTAGGTAGGTAGATAGATGGATGGATGGATAGATAGGTAGGTAGATAGATGGATGGATGGATAGGTAGATAGGTAGATATATAGGTAGGTAGATAGATAGGTAGATGGATAGATAGATAGATGGATGGATAGGTAGGTAGATGGATAGGTAGGTAGGTAGATAGATACTTTATTGATCCAAATTTGGGAAATTATTTCGTCGCAGAAGTGTGTTCAGACATTAAAAGACAATACTTAAAATACCTAAAAAAGTTGAAAAATAGAATTATTACGAAAAAATATTATATCAATTTTAAACAATATAAAAAAACAATATAAAATATTCTGTATCATTTGAAATAAAGAGTCAAAAATACTACAGTTTTTTTATAAGAGAGGATGGGTTAGCAACAGCAAACATAACGTCTGCTAACTTCCTGTTTCAGTCTGCTGAGGGTGACGGTGTCGTGGCGGAGCTTCAGGCGGCTCTTTCTGAACGAGACTCTGAGATCCTGCGACTGAAGGAAGAGCTCGAAGCTGCAAACAACAAACAGGAGGAAACACAGGTGAGTCTTATAGAAAACACCCTAAATAACCCTGTCTGTCTGTCTGTCTGTCTGTCGTTAGCTATCTACTTAACAAACTAGCTTTTTTAAGTTAGCTGTTGATGTAGTCAAATGGGTAATTTATTTACTCTTCTACATAATCTACTGACATATGATGGTAAATACAGGGTATCACTTTATTACTAAACTGGTTTCATATATCTATCTCTCTATCTATCTATCTATCTATCTATCCATCTATCCATCCATCTATCTAGAAAGAAAGCGCATTTGAATAAAGCATTAAATGCATCAACATGATTTTAAACTACTCCTATTCGCCTCCAACAGACTAAAACCACTGAAAGCGAAAGCCCTGCAACATTGGTTGGGAAACCCCAGAGTGAAGGCATCAAGAGGAAGTCAAGAGGAAGGCGGGACAACGGACTGTCCGTCAGCAGCCAGGTACTGACTTTTTTTAATAGTTATAAACTTCATTAATCCAGACATTAACTTTCCTAGTGGGATATATTTTTTAATTACATTTCAGCCACAATTGGGATAGGATAACACATTTACTTTAACACTTGCAACACAATAATGACGGCTAGAAATACAAACTCAAAGGATGCACCAGTGGATTGGCCAGATTGAATGGAAATGTAATACATCAGAGTCAGAACTAAACCTGGAGAAGTTCAGTTATTATGCTCCAAATATCTGGATCAAACTACCAGAAACCTGCAGGTGCTATATAAAGAAACTTGCCTTGCGTAACATTCAGTATTTTCCCACCATTTCCCCTCAGAGCTCTAATGGCTACCCGTCGGTTTTGGACGCCTCTGAGATTTCCACGGAGAACGGCAGGATGAGTCGTTTCCCTCGGCCGGAGATGGAGATTTCCTTCAGCCCTCTGCAGCCGAACCGCATGGCTCTGAGACGCCAAGGAGAGGAAAACTCTGTCACCGTCAAAATCACCCGGTCGGCGCGCAAGAGGAAGAGCGTGGAGATGGAAAAGGTAAGGTCGAACTCAAGGAGCTCGTCCGCACACTTTAAAGGTCTCCTATTATACTATTTTTAGGCATATATTATAGGTCTCAGATATATAGAAAAACATGTCCATGAAGTGTTTTGCTCAAAATACCAAACAGATCATTCTAGCCTCAAACCCCTCTGTTTCAGCCTGTTACTAAAGGGATGATTCTGGGTCCGCAATAAACGCTGCCGTGATTAAACGCCAAGTGATTAGAATATGATACAGGGTGTCCGCGGGGTCTTAAAAAGTATTAAAAGTTGATAAATCAATTTAGCAAAAATGAAGGCTATTAAAAAGTATTAAAGGGCATTTTCCAAGGTATTACATTTTGTAGGTTGTTCTCAATAAGTATATAAATTGTCCAAAGAGGTTGTATTCTACAGTGTGCCTGAATGTAATCATTGCGTAGGTGTGTAGTGTGATTCTGTGTAGTTTATTTATGGCATCCCGTTGGGTTTGACGTCATCTGAACAGGACATCGCACGCTCACTGCTTGATAGCGCGCGAAGGTCCGTTTACGCCGGTTGTTAAACATCGTTATGGGAAAATGCAAGTCTGCGTCCAAATGGTTGGAAGATAAGGCGGAAGGACAATCAATACTGTATATAGTCAATGTGAGGTGAAGTGTGTCGCCAAGGTAACCGGTTAAAACTCCAAGTGGCGATGAGGTCTTAACATGTGTGGGAAGGGTCTTAAAAAAGGTCTTAAAAGGTATTAAATGTGACTTCAGGATTCCTGCATACACCCTGTGATATATTAGATAAATAATGTGTAAGTTGCAAACATGAATGTTGTGGATGTTCGTTCAAAGGTCACACGTTTTCTTGAAACTAATCCCAGAAGCTAATAGATATCTTCCTGTGAGTTAGACTCAGCTGCTCTAAAGGGTAAAAGTTGTTTTCAGGACACAGCCTCCCTCACCGTCGTTTGATTTAAATCAGCGGAGGAGCTGCACTTGTGTTAATTTGTTTGTTCCGACTAATTAAAGGGAAGTAGGCTAATGCCCCGGTTACACTTGGCTCTCGGAGGCTTTTCACAAACGTAAACACATATCTGCACTGCATGGGTTTACAAGAAGACATCACACATCGATATAAATCAGATCTAAACACCTCACACACAGTTTTCCAAATCTAAAGAACCAATGCTAGTCATTTTAGTCATCTGCTTTGAGGAACTTGGTCCCAAATACACCTTAAAATTATAACTTTGTAGATACTATAACGTAGAGAATACTCAAATAATACATCAAGACATAGTTGACTAACTTCAACCCGACTTAATCAAGCATCCGTTCCAATATTTCAATATTTATCAACAGGGTTTTGTTCAATTGTATCATGATAAATCTACACAGTTGCAGTAAATATATTTCATTATTTGTATCTCAATAGATAGAAAAATAAACCTAGTTATTATCTGTGCAACTGAAGGACTTTGAAGTCTAAATAATATGAAATGGAATAACAAAAAAGCCAAAATATGAATATAAAAAAGCATTTATTTTTTATCTTAAAGGCTAACTTTCAAACTAATAAAAACAGTCTTACTTTATTGTTAAACTAAATCAATCAATCAATGTTTATTTATATAGCCCAATATCACAAATGTTACATTAGTCTCAGTGGACTTCACAGTTTGTACAGAATATCAGTATGACAATGCGACACCCTCTGTCCTTAGACCCTCTGTCCTTACACCCTCTGTCCTTAGACCCTCTGTCCTTAGACCCTCTGTCCTTAGACCCTCTGTCCTTAGACCCTCACATCGTACAAGGAAAAACCTCCAGAGAAACCCACAGTTTAAAGGGGAACATGGGAGAAACCTCAGGGAGAGCAGCAGAGGAGGGATCCCTCTCCCAGGACGGACAGACGTGCAATAGATGCCGTGTGTAAATCGAAGAGATAATACATTTACAGCGTAGGCAGACCAAATGTTTGGAAATGCATGTGTCTATAATAAGAAGATGAATCCACGAGGATGTCAACAATCCTGTGGGAGCCATCAGGGAAGCAGTATGATGAGAGTCAGGCAGGACCGCAGAGACAGGTTCAGCCACGACTCAGGATGCAGGACTCAGGATAGAGGATCCAGGAAAGGCCAACTTTCCACCATATTAAAATCCACCACTGGTTATTCTTGTAGCTATAAATCATTTAGTATAGATGATAAAGAACCCACTTGCATGCATGTGGCGTTGACATATGGGGGGGAAAGAAAACAACCTCATTAATCATAATTACCGCTGCTAAGGAGACACACTCAGTCACTTAAGTGATTTATACACACATAAATACTCACCCCCCCACGGAGAACATATCAAACAAGCCCCCGGAGGAACAGAAGGTCGGATGTAGTTCAGGCGCTTCACATCGTTCTATCTCTGTCTGCAGCTCGTACGACTCCTCTGGTTCAGATTCAACATATGTTGGCAACCAGAAAGCCTTTATTCTTCCAGACGGATAAAAGGAATAAGAGTAGAATGATATATTAAGTGGTGCAGTGATGATATTTTTGTAGAAGTTGGCATCGCAGACAAAAAGCCAATGGGATTTCTCCACGTGATTTTGGATCATGTCAGAAAATAATCAAACAAACGTTTATGATATTTACAGGTTTTGTTCAGCAGGATAATCTCCACAGTTTATGATTTCTGAAGTAAAAAGCTAATGTTGGGCTATAAAGGAACTACAGCGCGGTCTGATGACTTCACGTCACCACCCAATGGTGCTCAAAACAATAAACATAATATCTACATTGACTAAAGAGAAAAGTGATATTTGATTTTCTCCATATCTCCCAGCCTCTAGATTGCAGTTGTACTTGAAAGCTGCTCATCTCAGCCATGACTCTCGAGATAAACACAGTGTCCTTTATATGTCCTTCTGATATTATCTTTAAGTTCATCATGTTGTCAATCTGCTTTGCCATGCAAGAAATTGGCTGATTGCTTGTTTTGCAGTTGCTATATAAAAAAATTCTGTTTGCAATCTTAAACCACTGAGCATGTGCGAGTGTAAATTGCCAACAAATCAAATCAAATCAAATCAAATCAAAGTTTATTTATAAAACACATTTAACCTGTTAAGCACCAAGCCTGTTTTTCATGTTTCAGGCTCGAAAATGACATGCCCAAAACAAATGACTACAACTTAACTTCTAAAAGGGTTATATGAATAATTTCTTTTATCAAAGCAAGGTTACATCTGTGAGTTGGATGTAGAAGTGTCAGAATCAATATAGATGTTTTTTATTTTAAAGAAAATTCAGATTTTACACAGTAAAAAACTGTAAATTATAGTGTCCGTCCAAAAGTTATTTTTTACAGATAGTGAAAACTACCCCTGGATGATGGGTTAGTAGACTAAAAGCTTTAGGAATCCAAAGTACAACATATAATAAGTACCCTGTATCAAGATTGATGCAAAACAAGTGAAATTTGACCTTTTTAGAGAGGTTTAGCCAAAAACACTCCACCTCTGAGGTGATTTGGGTGAAAATGTTTTTTTTTCCATATCTCTGGCCCCCCTTGCTCGATTTTGATGGTTGACACCTCTTTCTGACCGTTAGAGCCAATATAATCGAAGGGGGAGGCCCCCACACACACATTGTGAAGAGAAAAGGTGGGGGCTGCGCGCATGTAATTTTGCAGCAGAGTGAAGCGATCTCTCCCTCTGACATTTGGAAACGAAAAAGCAGTTTTATTGCTTATGGATTATCAGAAATCATTTCAAAGAGGGCACAGATACATTGGATGAACCTATGGATTAACTGCAGCATCGTTTTTTTATCGTTTTAATGCCATTGAAGACCCGTTTTGACCAAGGTAATGTTATGATGTACGCTTTCGTTTATAGCGTCGCAAATGATTATCACTGAGTGTTGAGGTGGGCACCCCCAGATTCTGTGTCTCCAGTTGATGCAAAACGAGTGGTTGGCTGTGCATCTAGGATAAGTAATAAGGGAGTTATTGTGAGTTTAGGTGCAGAGATAGGTTACATTCTTTCGCTCGTGGCTAATTCAGAGGCTGAGTGCAAGCATTGTGGGTTTTTTTTGGGAAAAAAAATTAAAAAGATCAGTTAGCTGAGTTTCTTCCCGTTACATGGATATAAAACATTCATAGTTTATTAAATATTAAGATTCCCTAGACGTTGTTTCCTGCAAATGACGCGTTTATCCGCCCGGTACCGGGGGGATGGTGCGTAACAGGTTAAAAGCGATTTTTGGTCGGGCCAAAGTGCTGTACAACATAGCCATCATATCCATGCCCATTATGTACAACATAAGGTGTTTCCCAGACTAATGGCCAATTGGGATGATGTGGAAACAAGGGAAACGCGAGCAGCAAGAAGCAAACACTGTGACATGACCATTATAATGATATAAAATATTACTGGGTCTTACTTTGTAGCTATATATGGAACAAATATCCATAATCTAGAGGACAAAATGAAAGAGGCAGCAGGATGTGAAGTCATGTGACCGTGCTGTAGTTCCTTTATAGCCCAACATTAGCCACCTTTAGCTTAGCGGTGGTGACCTGAAGTCATGTGACCGTGAAGTCATGTGACCGTGCTGTAGTTCCTTTATAGCCCAACATTAGCCACCTTTAGCTTAGCGGTGGTGACCTGAAGTCATGTGACCGTGCTGTAGTTCCTTTATAGCTTAATGTTAGCTAGGCCCCTCTATTAAGCCTCTTAATTTTGAAAGTTGATCGTTACGTTTCTATCTTAGCGTAGGTTGGCAGAGATAAATCAGTTTGACACCATTGCTCCGGGACTTGTTGGCAGCAATTTTCACACCTTCAGTGACAACAAGAAGCTTCCTTGAATAACACTCTGTGACCAAGGGCGAGGGTATGAACGCAAGTCGCAGCATGCTTTACCGATGTTGAAAATCATAAACAAAGGACCTTTTAGTTACAGATTTAGCAGAAATGTATAGGGAAAAATCTGCCTCATATTTACAATGATTAACAAAGG